TTAGCACCCTTACCTGGAGAACGGGTTTTACCGAAAATTTCCCTCTACCGAACCGCCGATTTTGGAGAATACCGAAAATATTACACCGCCGAAAATTTCTGCTTTTACAGTATCCGATGATCTTGCTATGATTCCGTGAAAAAAATTTTTATATGCGCCTCGTTAGATCGAATAATGGCTTTTACCAAGAGTCCACAAGAGTATGCAACTGTGATCTCTTTTCTATGGGCCAGATGCGCGGCGCACTGCCTTCATTACATCATTCAGCTGCAGTCCGCGCAATGCGGAAAATCAAACACCGCACTTTCCCTCTGGTTTGAAATGAACTTTCGTACGGAACTGGAGTTCACGCGCCAGAATTTAGAGATCGCGTAGGTACTGGAACGAATCGAGCAAAAACGGATGGGCTCGTACGAGAAATTGTGAGTTTGAATGCATGCTTTCAGAGCGTGATGAAGGCAAGTTACGTAATGAAGGCAGCGCGCCGCGCACTGCACTGACCCATCACCACAGTTGCATACTCTTGTTTATGCACTCTTGCTTTTACCAAGAGTCCATATGCATAACCCTAGGTTATTATGGACTCTCTCTCTCTTGCTTTTACGTATATGAAGTCAACTGCATGCTGCTAGCATGCTTGCTGATTCTGGAACGGTCATATTTTGAATCTGGCGCGCATGGCACGACGTGACTTGTCATTTTTTGTTGAGTTGTCGTAGCTAGTAACGTGCGCGTAGTAGGTAGTACGGTACGGCACTACATGTACGGGTACGGGTACGACTCGCGGATCTGAGTAGCATGCACATGATGCAGGCTAGCTGCAGGGATCCCTGACTCGCATATCCCTACTATACTAGCGCATAGCCTGGTCAGTAGATCAGTCTACCACTGTACCAGGTCTACACAGTCCTTTGCGTGTGCGTGATCATGCTGAAGCTGAGATTGAGCATTGTTTCAGATCAGTGAACATTTTTTCGTGGTGAGCATTGGTGAGTGACTTGAAACAAATAACAATCCCTGGCATAGTGCTTGTACCGACCGTATTTCTTGTATTTCAAGGAAGAAGTTAGTGAAGGTGCCTCTTCATATCTTGACCATTGGAAGGAGTAAATACCGGGGTATTCCTCTGAGGCTCATGGTTTTGTACCGTACTCGGGTCATCCACGTTTCTCACGGTCACGACGGTCACGACTCACTTCAACTGTAGTGCAGTGTTCTGTTCTCGGTTGGAAAGCTGAGCTAAGCTGCTTCCAGGAATGACTTTTCAGTGTAAAAGTGGATTGTAGTAATATAAGTCAGCTTAGTGGAGGTGTGCAGCTACAGGGTGCTTTGCTGTGGCACTGGAGTGTTGGAGTGGCAAGGCTGCGACTGCAATTGCACACTGTGAGTCTCAAGCTGTGGCAGTTTACTTCCTGTTTAATTAACACTTCTCAACGTATACTATAGAGATAAGAACCAGTCATTATGGCTAGAATTAAGCAAGCTGTACAGAGCAAGGGAAGTGAAGGCAGCAAAGGTGCCAAACGGCCATTGCGATCCATGACGCCATTGACGGGCAAGCGTATCCGAGTTACTACTGAAGGCAGGGTGAAAGTCGTCAAGAACCAGAAACGTGTGTCTGCATCCCCGAAGTCGTACACCGAGAATCCAGTCAAGGCACGGAAAAGACTGACACGACACAAGCCAGGCCAGCTGGCTTTCAAAGAAATCCGCCGGTATCAGAAGTCGGTCAACCTGTTGATACCAAAGGCACCATTCCAAAGGCTTGTCGCAGAAATCATACGGAACCATGGAGCCTTTCGCCTACAGGTAGCGGCATTAAGTGCAATGCAGGAAGCGGCTGAGGCATTTCTGGTGTCCTTATTTGAAGACACAAATATGTGTGCACTCCATGCTAACCGAGTAACCATTATGCCGAAAGATATAGAACTTGCGAGACGCATCCGTGGGGATTATCGTCGTGGTTATTGAGCTCAGACGTATGTACCTTGTGTGTGTGTGTGTGTGTGTGTGTGTGTGTGTGTGTGTGTGTGTGTGTGTGTGTGTGTGTGTGTGTGTGTGTGTGTGTGTGCAATGCCATTCGTCCACTTCTCTCTCTCTCTCTCTCTCTCATTCTTTCTCTCTTTTGTGTGTCAATCGCACTCATACCCCCTTATGCTGACCCCGAACTAGATGCATGCCATCATAATTATAGGAGAACTGTAGACCAATGTATGATGAGTCCTTATGTTAACCTTGAAATGTTACACTAGCTGGTTATGTATATGTACATGTAACACATGATCACATGCTCCGCATTTTATTAGTACACTAACCCTCTCTTATCACAACAACCTGTCCGTCGACTTTGAGCGCTGGCAAATATTGACATGCGCCTTTCATATGTGGAACACTGTCATAAAACTTTCTTCACACATAATAATTATTAGTTGTGTATCGTAGTTGTAGCTGTGTACCTAACTGTGTTATCCCTCTTTTGTTTTGTTTTGTGTACATGTAGTCTTTTTCTGTACAATGTGTTATGTCAGCGAACGATAATACGGAAGTGATACGATTTTTTTTATCCAACCTTGACTTTACCTTTGTATCGTGTTCCTTTCTGTTTTCTGGTTTTTCAACTTGTTCTGTATTATCATGTATTGTCACGTATTGGGTTCATCAAATGATGACACAGGTATGGGATGCAACCTTTATCCAAGCTTGACTTTCACTACAACATCTGCTTTGGGTTCGTTGTCGTACCGTGTTCACCCACATACATGTGCATGCCCTTATATGCGAAAAATGCGTTTTTTTTCTTCATTTCGCTAGGAAACAAATGTTCCGGATACAATGTCTTTCAATAAGAGTGTTCAAGTCTTCAAATACATATTTGGGCACCCTGTAAGAAGACCTTAGGGTCTGTTGGGAATGCCCAAGTAAAATAATAAAATACAATACAATACAAATACACTCTTGGGTCTTGAGTTCTTTTTCATGCCTTTATTTGTGGAAGTGCCCTTGTGTTCGACTTAGTGCTGAAGCGATTGTACCAATTACTCAATCAACTAATCGTTACTCGTTAGGGGTTTTGAGTCCGAAAAGTACTGAAACCCCTGTTTTTTGTGAAGCTTGAATCAGCTTCTGTCGTGAGTATGCAGTTGCCAGGGGTATGGTTCATGTCCTGAGGTTCAATTGCCTTCGAAACTGCCATGTTTCGGAGCTACCCTTTCACTATTGCACAGATTTTTGGTATTATGAAGACATAGCTTGTGGTCCAGTGACTTCGGCGTTTGTCGCGTGCACGTGCAGGCCTACTTAGTAATTTTGCACAAATTCTGACACTATTTGCAAGCGATAGGTGAAAACCCACGATCGTTTCAGCCCTAATTCGAATATAAGTGCGGGGCCCTTTTATGCGCATGGTATACGGTATGTGTTACTTGTACGCTCACAAAGAACAAAGAAATGGCACTTGTACTGGCAGCTAGGGTTTGATACTATAATTTTTGTGATGACAGATGAAACAAGATCAAGTGACCAGCCGGGCTTAAATTCACGTACTGTAGGCATCGAAGAAAAGCGACCCATATCGGGTTAAAGAGTGGGCTCCACCAATACGATATGAGGAGCATGTAGCTTGAACTCGTTATCCGAGTCTACGTGTTTCTTTTCAGACACAAGCTTCTGGGTTCCAGTACACACTTGGTACATGCTCTGTGTGGATATCTTTTCTGAACCAGCATTGCAGCCGATCACGAAAGAGTGCCACAGCACAATCACAATTGGGAGGTTTCGCCCTACGTACTCGCGTATAAAATCCATATGTCATACGCGCCGGGGAGCAAGGGCAACTTTCATACGTAAACAGTCTTTCTATGGATTTCCATAGGAAAGCGCTTTCCTGCGCTCCCTCCTCTGTATGGAGGACTTTCTGAAATATATTTTTCCTCATTTCCGGATTAATTTATCCATGGCATTGTTCAAGCCGCGCGAAGCACAAGGTCCGCAACTCGTGGAAATATGGTATCCATAGCAATCACCTATTAATAGTTTGGAGCGAAACCCCAACAGTGCGGATTCTTGCGTATGAAAATCACGTGCTACTCCTACATTGTTTTCATGCGTACGAGCTCGCGAGGTCAGTCTCGTTGTCTAGAAAACGACCAATCAGCGATGCTCCCGCCAAGACCTTTATCACAAGTAACTAAATTGTAATTTTACTACTTTCTTATGACATGTTTGGGCCTTGACTTACATTGGATTATACATGTAGTTGCTGCTGACATTACAATCATGTATGTATGTATGTATGTATGTATGTATGTATGTATGTATGTATGTATGTATGTATGTATGTATGTATGTATGTAAACTCGGAGGGAGTTGTGGTTGCTCGTGAGAGTGCTCAATACACCAAGGTGCAGAGCCTAGTACACACACTTGAGAGGGACGAAAAGCGTTTCTTCTGTAACTCTGAGTTTCACGGTTTTAACCGATCATCAGACAGCAACTGATGATCGGTTAAAACCGTGAAACTCAGAGTTACAGAAGAAACGCTTTTCGTCCCTCTCAAGTGTGTGTATGTATGTATGTATGTATGTACTCTAAACAGTAGATGTACTGGTTAGATTTGTACCACTTTTTTCTTTCTCCACTCTTAAAAAAATTTGATTGTGTTTCTCTATACACCTACAATTGTATAGCCGGTGGTAACGCGAACGTGCAAACTTTACTTTTACTCTAAAAAATGATCCCAGGATCGAACTCATTACATGCAGGGAGTAGTATTTTACTACACCCTGATAGCAAGAGCCTCCTCCCCCCCCCCCCCCCTACTCTTGCTGATAGTAGGTGCCATGACCGACCGGGGAGGGGGCTCTCTCAAATACCCGCCCCTATTTTAAACTAAAAATAGCCCCATAAGATATCAACAATAATGAAGTGAACAAGTTCACATATCAAGAGCTATGCAGCATTTCATTTACTTCTCTGCACACAAATCGAAAAAATCCAAAATCTTGACGGTCCACTGAGTATAATCCACTCTTCACGTACATGTACATGACTATATTTGCTGCGATGCAAATTAGTGGGGTAACACGTGCAGTTGAAATATTCAATGATCTTGACTTGATTGAACTGCTAGGCTTGGTCAGCTTCTATGCAAGTAGAATGAAACCACATTCCAAAAACGTTAGCCCTAGGAGCTCAGGCTCATCAACTCCATACACCGCAGGAAAGAGTACTACATAATCATGTGTGTACTGCAATTAAAAAAAAAGCTGCTTGCAAGCATAATTCAATTATGCCACTAGATGCAAGTAAAGGGAGATAACAATAGTCATACCACCATAACAGTTTAGTGAGTCTTTCCTACAAATCAGTCAGTATACTCACTGGCTAACTACCCTGCATCCAGGTGAAGCAAAACACGGCATTGATTGTGTGTCACGCTGAGTCACCCTACATAATACTTCGAAGTAGGAAAGTTTAATTTTGAATGTGTATGTGTATGTGTATGTGTATGCGTCGATACAATCCGCGGCAATCTTGTAGAGCTACAGTTTCAGAACCGAACGTTTCCGCTCCCTTCTCGTAGTATGGGAAAAAGAAAAAGGTCAAGCAGCAAATAAAATACAGTAGCTCTAAGTAGGTAAGATATGATTGAAACATCACGCTACAAGGGTGAGAAAGTGTCTACAACGTCTCAAATGGGAAATGGCTTAAAAAAAAACGTTGAACTATAATCAGTGAGGAGTAACATTCATGACACTTTCGCGAGGACTAACGCCAAACAACCAAACCGTGAACACACAAAATAATATTACACACATTTCTGTACCTGTTTTTAAGTCAACTCCTTCAAACTTATGAATAGTTTTTTATAACTCAAACTAGTGAAGATAACTAAAGTAGCTAACTCTTTCACAGTTATTCTAATAATGCAGCAGAGCATTTCAGAATCATACGGATCTTGTTGTTCGCCAGGGCATGACTCATTTACTATTGGCCCGGCTCACAGCTATTCACTGCTCTGCGGAAATCTCAACCTCTTCATCCACAGCATTACGGGATTGCTTGCGCACCAAGTAACGAGTGAGATCAACGCCAAGATCCTTCAGCCCTTTCAAGTACTCCAAGTCTGCATGCTTGGCACCCTTGGCAGCCTGCAAGATGAACCGTGACATATGAGAAAGTATGTGAGCAAACGAAGAATGAAATAGCTGTAGCACACTGGTTTCAAATGTATGTGCTTCTGGCCACACTTCGTGTAAAGGCTAGCATGCCTACATGTACAACAATGATAAGGACAACACAGCACAATGGCCGGTAAACTCACAAGCAAGGCTTATTATACATTGTATATATATATATATGCACAACAACGTTCATTCATTTTGAGGATAGCGATCAACAGGACAAACTGAATCGAATTTCACAACGGCTTTTACAAATTTTCGGCAGCTATTTAATTTCGGCTATATTCGGCACCGACCCAAAACGCCTAAATTAAAACGCCGATGAAATTTTTCACAGCATCTGTCGCACTATACCATGTACCATGCCCTCTACCCCACGCCGAAAATAAATCGCCGCCGAAATGTCAAAAATCGTGAAGTGCCGAAATTTTGCAGCGCCGAAATTTTGTATATTTAACAGTAATAACAAGTTGTACATGTATGTGGAAGAATGACATTATATGATGAGATGGACAAACTCGGAGGCCCGGAAAATGTGACTACAATGCAGAAATTGGTGGACGATAAAGCTGTTATGAAATGCCGCTTCAGTTGGTCCTGTAGATGGCTATCCTCAAATTGTTGACGCCTCGCCGATTATTTAGATGTTTACTCTTGCGCTATGATACCTGTTACCCCTCAGAATTTCCCACCTTGCTCCCCCTGATGTTCAGGCTGCCCGCTTTGGAGCCATCAGTTGCCTGATGATCGTAGTAATACGTGAAACTTGCCACACAGCTTGGAATAAATCATGCAGAGAATGTCCTGTATAGGACATTCTCGGCATGATTTATTCCAAAGTAATACTTGAAGTACCAGTTTCACACTCGTTACGATCGCTTCAAAGTTTAGGTCAGATGAGCCAAGCACAGGTATCTGCAACAACCCCCCCCCCCTCCCCCGTACCCGTAACCTCCCTTCCACGCCTCCCCGGCTACATACAATGTATGAGTGCAACGTCCGGTTCAGGCCCAAAGATCTTACGTCAAGACGAGCCTGATCCCAGAGTGCCTCTTTCTCCAGCTGTGCACGGTGAAGTATCTCTGCACACTGCCTCTGCGTTGATGCGTTGGTCCGTTCAAGAGCCTGCGATGAAACAGCAATACATGTACATGCAGCTACTGCCAATTAGGATACAGTCCATTCATTAGGATACAGTCCATTCATTAGAAACTGACCCGCGACGTTGCTGAGAACGTACTCAAGGCCACATTTGAGAAATTACCATAATTATGAAAAGATGGAGTGTGATTTTCAGAAACGCGAAGAGACGTGGTGTGAATGAAATATTGAAATATCGTACGACGAGCCAGGAGCGCAAATTTCGAAAAAGGAAGGAATAGGACAGGGGATCCCACTGAAAACCAGCAATTAGCAGCAAATATTGGTGCAAACCTGGCCGACTATTTAACTTTCTTTTAAAATGGAAAATTCCACTGCCGGGGAAAGTTTAAAGGCTGAATTGCACGAATCACCCATGAACGGGGCCTGTGGAAAGAAAATAAATCTTTGATTGGATCTACTATAAAGATGTACCGGTACAGTCAACTTTGCGTATAACGACACTCGGCGGGGCATCAGAAAAGACTCCTATTCACGAAGTGTCCTTATACCTGAAGTCTCATTATGTGTATTACAGTTAGATGGGACTTAGCTCTGGGCGTGGAAATTCTGTCGGTATTCGCTAATTGTCGTTATTTCCGCAGTCGTTATTAGCCAAGTTGACTGTACATGTATAGTTTAAAAAAGTTTCCGATGAATGGACTGTAGTCACATCTGTTACACACGGCCAGAGCAAGCCGGGCAGTCGAAGGTGCCTCGCATACCAGTACTTCAGTATTACGGTACTACCCTAATTATATGTACAGTAAAACCTGTAATGGCGACCACTCGGATATGGCGAACACTCGACCATGGCGACCACTTTTCCTTGTCACGGACTCATTCACATTCAAAACAGCTCGAAACAGCTCGAAGACGACCACTCGCTCAACGCGACCGACGGCCATCCACCCGCGGCCGCGTTGCACCCTGCTAGTACCGTAAAATCCCGCCAGAGCGCCCCGTCTCTCCCATCCGCCCCTCCCTGACTTCTTGTCAGGGACGTGATTGATTGTATCCTCGTATGACTCTGTCGCAGTCTGTGATGCCGTATAGTACTGCAGACGCGTGCTCGGCTCCGTTGGAAATGTACGCAACAGTGCCCACCCTCTTGACCATGGATCGCACAAACCCTGCAAACCCTGCGTTTTGTCAGGTCTGTGCGACTCCTGGCTCTTGACCTTTGGTCGGTGTACGAGATGCACGAACAGTTTTCGTAGGGTGAGTACTTTTTCATGTAGCACTGAATGCGGCAAGTAGGACTCACCCATCCGCCCCTCCCCACCTGAACTCAGGCTGAAGCGTCGAGGAGGTAGGGGCGCTCTGGCGGGATTTTACGGTACATGTAAATGTACGCATTGCATGGTGTACCATGATGCATATAGATCTACACATCAGTGCAGGAAGTATAGATGTACATGGTGCATGCACGACACTTGACAGGTCTGAGGACCCCAGGCAGTGCAAGCACATGAGTCGTGCTAGAGTAGCATAGGTGTGTGCACTGTGATACACTGATCAAAATGATATACCACATGTATTATGATGTGGATATAGTCACGTGACCCACTGAACCTGGATAAGAAGACCACCTGGCCACGGCGACCACTTGTTCTCGTCCCTTGAGGGGTCGCCTTAGACTGGTTTCACTGTACATTGTTAAAAATCAATGGAACCCTGCACCAAAGTAGTGGTTGCGACTTCGGCGATGATTTGACTCACTGGCTCATGCTGCTATCTGGTGTTCACGAGGTGTTTGTCGCGCTGGAAACGGAGCGTCTCTGTATGTTTGTATCCCTGGTAATGTTTGTGCCTGGAGAGCACTATATAAGTGGTGCTCTTCAGGCACAATCTTCCTCAGCCTACTCAAGCTCAACTGATGAGGGGTGAATTCCCCGAAACACTGTGTATTGAGCAGGGAGTGGTGCTTTCTTGCAGGTTTGCCGAGTCGAAGGTTCGATTGACTTCTCGTGTGCTCTGGATGGCAGTCGTGAGTCAGTCAAGTGTCAAGTAACGTCGGCGGAATAGCGCGAGCTCCGGTGTGGGGAGCAAACCCTTTTTTGGAACCCTGCACCCCTAGGTTTTTCGGCAATGGGGCACATGGGAAACGGTAAATCAACTAAAATACCCCCCCCCCCCCCATTGATGAATACACTGTAGTAATACTGACAGCATACACTAGAAATATAAACACACGATAGGCAACCACACAACTTACATGCTTGTGCTGTGCCTCTGCCTCTTGTTTCTGCTGCTGCTTCTCGACACGATCAACCTCTTTACTGAGCTTCATCTGCTCGCACTTCTGCCGCATTTCCTCCAAGTCGGTATTGAGCCTCAGCTCAGTGCGTGCCTGGATGGCCTTGTCATGCATGGTTTGTAGGGACTCCGCCGCATGGTAGCCTCGGTACACCACCTAGCAACACAGGGAATTCAGGCAAGCCAGGGAATTCAGGGAACACAGGGCATTCAGGCAACGCACCGTCAGTGCGTTGCCACTACTGCGAAGTACATGTACCGCTACAAGCCAGCTGGGCTAAAGTCTACAGACGACTAGCAAAATGGACTGTGCATGTACTTGTACTAGCCAAGTGTGAGCAAAGTCACTTGTTACAGCACTGCCATATTGATGATTGATTCTATTTAAAAAGGATTGTCCAAAGGCTGCTGCTTGTTAGCTGGCATGCACTGTCAAATGAACCGTGTAACTACTCTGGCTTGGATAACAACTATCCAACCTCAGTGTATTCAATCAGAATGCCGGAAGCCCGAGGGACAGGATGCAACGATTGCATCCATTTCTGATAGCAAATCATCCAAACTTCCCCAGACATTTCCCACAGCTAATTAGTACTGCGGCCCTGCATCCAGCAGTACAGCAGCAGCGTTGCAAACATGACCGCCATAGTACTATGCAAACTAAATACACAGCTGGAAGTGTTTCACCGGATACGTACCTTGGTAACTTCAAAACCAATGTGCTTGCTACGTCTCATTAACTGTGAATAGGTCGAGAGCTTGCTAAGCACTGAAGTCTGCTTCAGAAGCTTCTCATAGGTGATGGTTGCAGCGAAGGCAATGACGTCCGAGCAAACAGCATTGACAAAGTCAGCAATCGGGTCATGCGTCTGCACCAGCATGGTTTCCACCTGCATATGCAGGTACACATGTCAGTAATGATCACCGGCAGATGAATAGCACTTTAATAAAAGATATACTTCGAAGTACAGCATGATTACCATGCAGCTACATTGTACACAAAACTTGTCAATTTGAAAGCAGCCGCTGTTGGTTTACATGCACATGCAGATCCACCGTGTCACCCACAAGCACACACACATGGTCATACAGTGTCATGTGAATACATCAAATTCAACAAAGTATCGTGGCAAGATGTGTATGACCAGAGTATTGTAATTGCCTGTGTAACTCATCGCTCTAAGTTGTAGTGATGCAGTCTATTTGCCTAGCTACACGAAATCCATCTCATAATCTGATTTAAAAATCTCAGATAACATACGTATCTACTCCACAATGCTCCTGTAGTTCCCATACGCAGCAGCGAAACCACTCAGCCTTTGTCTTGCTACCTCTCCTCTCGCACATTAGTCTCTGACTGGCCACCGGCCATCGTGAGAATACAGCTCTTTTCTAACGCACCTGCACACGTTGTAATTCATGTCATTCGTATGTTTAGCACAAAACTCCGGTACTGTGTACTTACATCGCGTAGCTCATAGAAGATCATCAGCTTGACGCGCAGAGTGACATCATCCTTTGTCCGTACCTTAGTAACACCACAAACAGCCGGGATACAGTCACGGTCGACATACGTCTTGGTACATGGACTGCAATGGCAATGAAAACAATGACTGCATGCAGTTCCGCACAGTGTACATGTAGGCAGCAGAGTGCACATACAAATACAGTAGCATACTTCCTGTCCAAACCCTATCTCAGTGCGGGATAATGCAGACAGTTCACAGGTCTAGCGGCACGCATAACTGTTACGCATGGTGACAGTGATGCCATCCAAAGCTCTTGCTACTAACACACCACCACCCATGCATACACACCACCACCTTACCTCGTTAACATTGTAGTAAAAGTGCTGCGGGACAACCCTCAACTTGTTGAACACATCCTTGCCAGGAATCATACGCGCCTTGTTGTTGGGGTCAGATCCATGCCACTTAAACTCGTGCAGCCATTCGTGTGCAGTAGGTGCAAACAGAATAGGACCTGCAGCAGAAGAACATGGTAACTGTGTGAGGCGGCATGCTGCCTCAGTGCCCGGGGCCACGATAAACTACTATGGGTGCGGCAATGCTCAATCGCCAGATCATCACCGCAGTGCATTGCAACACAGCTTCAATCGCCAGATCATCACCGCAGTGCATTGCAACACAGCTTCATTACAATCATGCAAAAACTGGGATTACGAAGTGACCGTCCTGTCATGGCCGTGCAGAGTACCACAAACATGCTGATCACTACACAGCATGATGCGGACACAGCAAAACCCGGGCAGTAAATCCTATATCTAGAGAACATTGTAATAAGAGACCCGCTGTATTTAGAGACTGACTCCGGATCTCAGCCACCATACCATGATTAGTTAACACACACACACATATCGACCTGTGTAGTACTACACGAACTGACTGACCACCTACCAACAATGGTTTTCTTTGCATTGTCCGGGACGGTCACTGGTCGGCGCTAACCTCAGGTTCAACACTACCCGTACTACTGCTAGTGCCAAGAGTAGATCATAGTAACCCCCCCCCCCCCCCAAGAGTGTGTAACTCTGCATATGGGGTCTCCGACGGCGAAAACTCACATCACGTGTCTCAGATACGTTCGTACCACGTACAAACGAAGGATAGCGTGTACACAATCCGAATATCTGCCATGATCATGCTGGGGATTAGCATACCCACAGTGAGTTTCTGTCAGAGAGTGCTCTTTTTATTACTCCGCTGCTCGCTAAAAACGGGCTGGAAACGTACACCTGCAACACTGCACCATGTGATGTGAGTTTTCGCCATCGGCGTACCCCATAGAAAGGGTATCAGGAATTGCACACTCTTGGGGGGTTATATACTCCTGCTAGTACACGTAGGCAATAGGCGATGATTGCACAGCCACGGCTGTATGCACACTTGCACATGCCATTGCACACTGCAACCACACCTAACCCTGATGTACTGCATAGCCAGCAGTAGCATTGGTGTTAAGTTACTGTTAACGCAGCCATGCACGTTCCACGTTGTACAGACTGCACATGTACTTCAATAGCAGCCAGCCTACCTTGGCAGCCAACCTACCTTGGACAATGCGCCTTTGGATGTTACCTTCCTTCTGGTTATACACGACTAACATCTGGTTTGCATCCAGGGAGATCATGTCTATTGCCTAAAGCCACAGCCACAACCAAGGAGAAGGTGACGAAACGCAGTCATGTTTGTGGTACATCATTACGCATCGCTGGAAAATAGTCAGTTCCCTCAGTCTATACACGTGTGTGCACATAAATCTGCTACTCTTAAAATCCAATCGCCTTCCGCATGTGGAGTACTATGTGTGTGTGTGGGGGGGGGGGGGGGGGGGTGATATCAAGGGAAGTGACCATGTATAGTATAATGTATTACAGAGTACAGTCGTCAGTCACCGGTGCTCATCCCAGCATAACCAAAAGGAACATTTTTGATGAACCAAACCACTGGCCTCGGGGAGTGTGATGTCTGGTGTACAATGTATGGCTCAGCCGAATGTAGTACATGTACTGAATCATCATTGCTGAGAACTTCACGACTTCATGACAATTGGAGCCATATAAATCCTACCCACCAGCTTAAGAGGGCTGCCGTGCAATATCACTTCTGCAACGCGCTGAGTATCGAGTGGTGTTATTTTGCTGAGTATCGAGTGGTGTTATTTCGCTGAGTATCGAGTGGTGTTATTTTGCTGAGTATCGAGTGGTGTTATTTTGCTGAGTATCGAGTGGTGGTGTTATTTTGCTGAGTATCGAGTGGTGTTGTTATTTTGCTGAGTATCGAGTGGTGTTGTTATTTTGCTGAGTATCGAGTGGTGTTGTTATTTTGCTGAGTATCGAGTGGTGTTATTTTGCTGAGTATCGAGTGGTGTTGTTATTTTGCTGAGTATCGAGTGGTGTTATTTTGCTGAGTATCGAGTGGTGTTATTTTGCTGAGTATCGAGTGGTGTTATTTTGCTGAGTATCGAGTGGTGTTGTTATTTTGCTGAGTATCGAGTGGTGTTATTTTGCTGAGTATCGAGTGGTGTTGTTATTTTGCATAGCGTAAAGGCACATTGCAGCAAAACCCGGCACAGCACACACAATCCAGCGCACACAATCCAAACCTTCGAGCGAGCCAGAGCACTTTTAAACTGGGTCACATGTGTTCGCCGTGCAGAAAGTAACATGCATCGCACGTCGGTCATCGCAGAAGTTGAACTTACGTTACTGAGCTCAACTTCCCATGAGGCGGCCTGCGATGAAACTGTGACAAGGATGAGATGTTTTGAAGAAGCTCGCAGCTCATTGCGTTGCAAAAGTGATATTGTGCGTCGTGATTTCGGGGAAGGTGCCTTGCACTACATACCGCCCGTATGCGCTTGGTCTCCCGGCACTCCAAACATGACACCGTCCCCTGTGTTGCATGTAGGGCTTCTAATCCTTGGCATCAAGTGTACGTCATAATACAGTTCGCTGTTAATATTAATTAACATGTTGTTGTTACTCCAGATTGCACCCCTTTCCTACCGTACAAGGCATTGCTAGTTGCTCCGCATCACAAGACTCGCAACAACGCAGCAATGCCAGCATGCGGCAAAGCAGCTGATACCTTTACAATAAATATGCGCGCGCCTACCTTGACCGTTTCGTGTTCTAGCGGGTTGATAAACAGCTCGCATGGTCCGGGACGATGCTCCACTTCGCCATCCTTGTGTCGGATCATCAGGTACTGCAACTGCGACGCCGTAATACGATTCAGCATTCGTATCCGCTCACGATAGAGGAACAAGCGACAAGGCCCAGCCACCACAAGACTCTCGCCAAGGTGATTTGTCACCAGGCCCTGCTGGCCTTCGCGGATCGTCTTGTATTTCATGTTTCAGCAATCACAGACAAAACTTCAACCTCCAGCTCGCTATTTTCCCTATTTTCTAAGAACGAAATTGGGTGAAGATGTCAGCCACGATGCCTTTTATCGACACACAGCTCATAGAGCTACGCTAGATAGCAGCCCTACAGGAAAAAATCTGATTATCATAAGGCGAGGTGAACAATACCACGGTTCCCGCACAGACCCTCACTACGGGCCTCAGTCTGAAACAGTTCCGTACAATCGTTCTAGACTCTAGCTAGCTGTTCTTTGCAAGGAAGAACTCGCAGGAAGTCTTGACGTCGAGAAGTGTTGTTTGCCTCAACCAAACATAGAGTAATCGCCAGAAAAAGTAACATAGTTAGTGAAGTCAATGTGATGGTATGGTCTTGCTTGTCACCGGGCCTGCGGATTTTCGGGCTTGCCTATTTTCGAGGTGCACGCACGTGAGTCAATCGAACCAAACGCGACGTTTTCTTGCTGACTTCGGCGTTTGTCGCGTGCACGTGCAGGCCGTTCAAGTACAGCAAGAGGATATTATAGTGCTCATCATGCCTGCCTACAATTTTGTAGGCGCCTCGGCCTCGCGACTCAGAGTCAGACTGTCATCATGGTCATTTATATCAGACGACTAACTTTCAAGAAACACAATGCTGCCAATAGCGTCCTTACGTGTATGATGCCTAGCCTCTACTCAGGGTGAGGCTCTAGCTCTTCTCAGAGTTTGTTGTGTTTGAATCTTGGTGAAAGTTTCCCCTCCTTCCCGACTACATAATTTCTAGTATGGACTAGCAGTTCTAGCTCAGTCAACAAATTCATTGATTGGTAATGATACCTTTTCAGCCGGAGTGCCATACCTAGCCCATTGCAGAATTGTCAGCACTGAGAACTCGATAATCGCACTTCATGTACTTACTGTGATGGGGAGAGGGGGGGGGGGGGGGCAGTGGCGAATACTAGTATAGGATGGAATTGAGGTCCAGGCAGGGATGCCCCTGCTGAGATCTAGGGGTGTGGCCGTAGTGGAATTGCCTGTGGGGTACGAGCCAGAGCCAACTTCAGGGAAGCTTCAGCCTTCAGGGAACATGTAATGGAGAAATACAACTCATGAACCAGCCATCGCGCTGGATCCAGAAGGACACACTTTCATGGTCCCGTGTTATGAATGACTACAGAGGAGTACAATCATGTCAGGGTTCTAGGCTCAACTTCTAGCCACATGAGGGGGGGGGGGGGGGGAAGCGCCCTCTCTACTCTGCTCTATAGTCACTACTAAATAAAGGGTTCATAAAGGCACATTTGCCTGGAGTGAAGCCGGGGCTCGGCCCGTTTGTTGCATTTTGGATGGCAAGACAATTATGGAAAATGGGTTTCGGGTAACTGTTTCCCATGCCCGCCCTCTACTATTTTGGCCTGGCTAGAACCCTGCATGCATACCATGCTCATGATTGGGCAGGCCGAATTACAATCAACAGGCTACTGCAACAGAGTACCAGTATCTAGGCTGCAGATATTGAATCAATGTTCACAGCAATACAATAATAAACATGTTCAATGTACACAGCACACTATCTTCTTGAACCAGCGGTGCACTGCTGAAAAACTCAGAAAAACCTAGCATGGAGCAAAGCCATTGGATTAGGCTAAGGGGTTAAACTACTTAGAAGTAGCGACTTGCGCGGTTTAAAAAACTTTGTACAAGGTCAACAAATATGGCTGTTTTGACAAAATTCTGCAGGGGCAGAGAACAGCGAAGAGTTGGATGAGTGAAGATATACAAGTATAGAAGGACGGAACTTTTAAAGCGGAATCGAGAAAGGGGGAGATTGTATAGGCATATGTGTTCCATGGAGTAAGAAAGTATGATTATCTCCTACCGGTGGTCATCTTATCAAGAGAGCAGTAACATGGTGATTGCAGGACACGGGGCTCGGCGTGGGGTTGAGCGGCGCTCATGGAATTTTACTGCAAAGGAAAAATGCAAACACACATATCCATGTCTGCATCAACACATCTGTACATGTACGAATATCCTACAAGGCTACAGGTAGTGAAAAAGAAAAGAAAAGGTACTAGACACTAGCATAATCAACCCTGTCTTATGCAGATGACATGTTGGCACCGCCAGATGGTGTCTGCACTTCACAAAATCCATAACACAGAACACTGCATACGTGTTATGAGGTCATACTCATGGTACACACTTGAGTCGACTGTACTCACGGATCCCAGAAAGGTGTCCGGTAGCTAGGAGGAGGGTCGAGCGTAACTCAAGGTTCTAGCCAGGGGGGGGGGGGGGGGGGGGGCAGCGCACCCCCCCCCTACTCTGCTTGAGCTGCCTCTTATGAAAAGTGGCACTCCCTACTTATTCGTCAATGTTTGTGTTTTTCAGGCCATTCAACGAAAGTGCACTCGATCGTCACGAACAGAGGGTTCGTAAGGCACACTTGACTGGGGTGAAGTCGGGGTTTGTTGCAAATTGCATGGCAAGACAATTTTGGAAAATGCTGAATGGGTTACGGGGTAACTGTTTCCCTGCCCGCCCGCTTCTATTTTTACCTGGCTAGAACCCTCGTCAGGGGTGTAGAAGGGGGTTTGGAATTGGTACGACCGAAGGTCGGCGCGAAAATTTTGTAAAAAAGACACAAAATCCTGCGTTCTGGGAACTAGTTACTTCTGGCACACTGACATGACTGTGCAGTGTGCAGTCAAGTCGAATACAGTACTCAGTACTCAGTACGACTGCAGATGCATGGCAGATCTACGAGTACGAGTCTGGTTGGATCCTGATTTTTTTTATTACGGTTTTGCACATTCCGCACGGACCACACTTTTCGAAAAGTGGTATGGCCATGGTCGTACCAGTCGTAGCGGGTGCTACGCCCCTGCTCGTACACTGTAACTCATTTCTAGCACTTCAGTATAATCAGAAATGAATGGACCACATCATACAATGTAAAGACACACTGGTATCACCATGACTCTAGGCCTTCAAAACAGTTTTCTGATGATCGCTTAGTGCGTGAAACTCGGAGTAAAAACACTTTCTCTGTCCACCTATTGTTTGACTCTAGGCCTTCCATAGGAGTTTGGAATTTTCCACCAAAGCAGTTCATTCATAGCAATAGGCAATCACAAGATTTCTGTACTTCAAGCATTAGAACAAGATATGAATGTACCTGTCCTGAACGTCGCCTTTGAACGGAAAATAGACTTTGAACTGGAAATCACTGCGTGCGAAAGACCCCTACAGCAGAGAGAAACATGGGAAATGGAATGGTACTCAGAAAACAGCGTACTGGTAAATGCAACGCAAAAGACAGTTGAAAGTAGTGGTGAACGAATATCAAAAACCCAGTAGCCGAGTATTCTTTATTATTATATTTATTATTATTATGCTTGTTCGTGTTGACATCACCAAGCAAGCTTGGCTAGTCTTCGCATAAGCCAAATGAACAGAAATGAGGAACGAGTATTCTTCGGCTAATTTAAATGAACAAATATTCTTCCATAAACACGGATGACATAATATGATGCCCTCCTCTCAGTCATTTTATTGGATATTGTCACTATTATTAGTCATTCAAAGTGATGTAACGAATATTCGCCATGAGAAATATTCGTTCGAATGTGATGAACTGAACAAATATTTGGATATTAGGTGCTGGCATATTCGTTTCACCACTAGTTGAACGCCTGGCACACATTCCAATTGAAAGGGCAAAAACACGCTTCGCATGCTATTCAATATTACCGTACTGGCAATATATATGGTCGCAGTGAGGCCATGAAGCGCTACATTGGCACATGTTTACCGCACGCAGGGCGTTACATGCAAAGTCGCACAGGAGCCGTTACACAGGTTTCTATATTGCCGCAGTCCTTTTTTTGCTATTGCAGGACTTCCTGCTGCGTCCAGTTTTGAACTTTTCACCACGCGGTACACGTGCTTTCACAGTTTTCAGCCTTTTTTGCAATGAAAAGATCGCCGCACCCCGCCGGACGCGCGTTACGAACGCAACGAAAATTTGTCGCACTAGCCTGGTTGCGCGTTACGCCGCACCCCCCTGCGTTACGCGTTACGCGGCAACATATATTGCCAGTACAGTAGTAGAGACTATCCTATCCTGTATCATGTTATCCTTTCACCCATTCACGGCATAGTCCTTTCCCTGTCTGTCGCCATGTATAGACGGTACGTGACCTCGCACTACCCCCGGGGCCCCGTGCTACGCACGATACCATGCTCTGCTGGGCATGGTTTCCCTGATTCTTCATTATATCTACACTCATCTGTCTGTAAAATAAACCACTTCCTTATGTCAGTTCATGACACATGGTGTCAGAAGTGGGATTCGAACCCACGCCTACATAAGTAGCTCAGCTGGGCATGGGCATGGCCTCCCTGACTCTTCACTACTGTAAAGCGTGAAATGTTCGCGGCGTTTTTAGTTCGCGTTTTCAGAATCCGGACAGGTTTGCGAGGTTTTAATTTTGCGATTGCAGAATGGCATTCTTGCTAAACCTGTGGCATTCTTGCTAAACCTTTCATGGATCTCCTTTTCGCGCTGTCTAAATTTCGCGTTTTCCACGCGGTCGCGAATTTTGCAGAAATTAGACCATGGCAATAATTTCACGGTTTACAGTATATCTACACTCATCTGTCTGTCAAATAAACCACTTCCTTATGTCAGTTCATGACACAACAGAGACAGCAGGAAGTTTTTAGACCACTGCGATGTATCTCAACTCCCAGAGAGAAGGAATAAGTGGCTTTAAATAAAACAACAAGTATGAGTGGGCCAATGCCATGGCACAAGGCCAAGGTGGAGTAATGCAAGCAGTTGCTGTGGACATAGCGTTTTTTTGTTGACAAAGTGTCTCATACTGGCGTACTTTACAAGGCCCTCCAGCTGGGGATAGGGGGGTCCCTACTCAAATGGCTTACACACTGCCTGAGACATCGTACCATTAAAGCTGTTGTTCATGGCCAGAGCTCATCAGTCCACCCCGTCCAGTCTGGCGTCCCACAAGGTAGTATCCTTGAGTAGTAAGCATGGCGAGGGTCCTGCTGCAGGTACAGTCTCATTGAACAGTATGACTGTTACCATGATGGGCGCAATCCCATGGAAGCTGCCACGTTCCTTTGCCGGCTATCGCATGGGACGTTTCTGGGGGCAATGTGCCCCAAGATCGACGTATGTGGCCAGGACGTCAGCGACTTTGAGCAACTGTCAATCGCTGATAGCGGTATGCTGATACACATCAGCAACGGGAAGACGCAAATGTTCTCGTACTTCAACCGTGAGCTACGGAATGAACTCACAACGTTCATAATGACCTACGGTAGCAAGATGTCGGTATCCCAGTACGTACGTCTTGTACTTCGGATAAACAACAACCAGTTCATTCGAGACGATTCAGGAAAGATCTTTACAAGCCTTGCTGTCAGGCTACGAGTTCACGCCAAGCGCCGTATCAACGTCAACATTAAACTCGAGATCGACGACGCGGCAGATTCTCCGAACAGTGTCACAGATGTCATCCTGTTGGCTGATGTGTCGTATCCATACTATTGACACGTGCCTTTTAGGCCTCTACGGGACAAGTATGCCTTATTTAGGTGTCTAATTATTTATCTATCTCCCGTAAACGGGTTCATAATCGTCTTTATTTTATGTCTTCACACAAGACCTGGGGCCTTCCTTATTTGGTATACGCTGTTATTTCCCCACATGGCTCCCGCTCTTTATGCAACAGTTCGTACACATATTTACTACGGTTTGATACGCTATTGCATGCGGGACCAGCAATCTCGTGGCCATGGACTTCCATGGCCGCAACTAGATACTATTGCCATCACCTTCCTTTTCTCTCTCTCTCTTGCCTTCCGCCTTCAGGCGGAAGCTTCGGCTTTTGTCTGTCTTGCCTTGTGCTCTCAATATCGTCTCTTGAACCAAGTTAGCTCCTTTGAAGATGTGAGTCAACCTGAACGCTGGTGTGAGTGTACGTGTCTGATTATGCCTGAGTGTGTGTGTGAGAGTATGTCTAGGTATTATGTGCGTGCGTGCGTAAGAGTAATTCTGTTGGTGGACTCTCTCCAAGTGGCCACCACTGCACGGCCTTGTAATGGGAAGGTTTATAAGTAAGTTAGTTCATGTCGAACCGCAGCCTTGGGGTCTAACCCCGGGCCGTCCCACTACGACAGATGTATTCGAGAACTTTCGCAAGACAGCATATGATACGTATGTGCTGGACCCAGCCAACTATCTTACTCTACCCGGACTGGCCTGGGATGCACTCCTGAAGCTGACGAAAGTTTCTCTTGATCAGCTCAGTGACGTTGACGTGGAGCATGGCAAGCGCGGCGGTACAACGCAAAAATGGGGTACTATTAGTACCCCCATTTTATGGGCATGTACCTGCAGCAGGACCCTCACCATGCCTACTACTTCCTTGGCCCTACATTGCTCCTCGTGTACGTGAACGACATTTCAAGCTGCTTGTCGCCTGGCACAAACCTGAACACTATTGCAGATGATACCACTTTGCACTCCCTCCTTGATCAAGCCTCGAAAGCCTCACTACAACGCAGCCTAGATGAGCTTCATGCCTGGGGCAAGAGATGGAGGATTGCGTTTGAGCCATCGAAATCGCAAACCATCACTCTATCACAGCAGGGGAAGGATACAGTGACTCCACAGCTGTCATTCGGCGGAACTCCTCTCCAACCAGATGAATCTGTCAAGGTGCTCGGAGTGACATTTGATTCCAAACTTAGCTACAGACTCCACCTTCGGCAAGTTGCATCACGTGCTAAGCAGCGGCTGGGCTTCCTGCGGAAGGCAGCACCCCTCCTTAGTCAAGTGGGCAGGGTGACTGTCTACAAAGGATTCGCCCGGCCAATGCTGGAATATGCCCCCCTTGCATGGATGGGATCGGCTCCCTCACACCTGGCCATGCTGGAGGCTGGCCAGCTCCGCGCCCTTAATGGCCCTGGTAAGATACTCCCCAGCCTCACTGTTCGGCGAAAGGTCTCTGCTCTCTGCCTGTTGTATAAACTGATGTGTGACCATTGTCTGCCTCAAGTTGCAACCATGTGTCCCCCGTCGGCTATGCCGCTACGTCACCGCCGCACACGAGCAGTCCAAGCACAGCACCATCCCCACCAGCTTGAGCTGAATGTCTCGCCACGAGCTCCTGACTACCTTCTGCGCTCCATCCCATACTGCATCGTGCAAGTGTGGAATTGATTGCCACAGGTAGTTCTGGACAAGCAGCCAGCCCGGAAGCACATGCAGAGCTTCAAGATTGCTGCATACCGTCACCTGCAACAGAGTGACTGATGTTCTGCTCACGACTGGTGCTAGCCATGTACATGTATCACACTGGCCTGCTATCAGCGGATCCAAATAATTATGTTGACCCTCTTCTACAAGTAGTATTATAGACATATGCGGCAATATGCCCCCAGAACTCTCCCCTCTCTATATTTATATCTCTCCACCTCTTTCTCTCTCTCTCTCTCTCTCCCTGTCATTCCTCTCGCCTCGCCCTTCCTGTCATTCCTCTCGCCCCCCCCCCCCCCATGGTGCTTGCTGTGTACGCCGATCCCAAGATCCTTGGTCGGGAGAGTCCACCGCATCTCACCAGCGCAGCTCATGTAGCGCTTACATACACCCTTTGTTGTTTTTTGTTTTGTCTTTGTTTGTTTCCCCTTCTTCCGTACGTATGTGCAATGTGATAAAAAAACCAACACCCCAAAAAAACCACCAACAACAACAACAACAACAACAACACCAGGGTGTACAGCATACCGGATTGACAGTGGTGCACCCTGTTTGGCTCTTCACAGTGAACGGATCATACTTGTCTGCCAAGATCACCTGCGAAGAAGACGGAAACGAACAACGCAGGTGAAGTAGAGTGCCTTGCTAAACCGCCAGTACACTCTGACACATCCAATGAAACTGGGCAGGTGAACAGTGCAGACACTCCCAACCAATGTCAAAATCACCATACGCTTCATGGAGTAAGTTCACGCAAGTATGAAACAAAGAGATGTACTTGAAGTGCTGCATATCAATGTTGAAGCAAGCCAGTCTGACGAAAACTTACCAAATCTGGAAGAGGATACAAGTGTAGAGCATGATCTTGCGTCCAATACACAGGACGAATGTGCAACGGTAACGGACAAAGGTGAGCTTGCGACTCCAACGTTTTGACAAGCTACACGACACGAGATGAACATTTAGAAAAGCCAGTACAGCACATGAATAACATCTTTGGATATAACAACTGGTGAACAATGACACCATCTTCAGGCCCAGTGACCGTTTCACAGTTTGCTTTCAACCTTGCAAATAGCGACAACTTGTGAATGCTAAACAACACTTTTCTGATGCCCGATTGAAGGTTGCTACTCGCAAGGTTGATCGTGCATGGGACCATGCTAGCATATCATCAAGAAAAACTCACATGTGTTGGCAGGTCCACATCATCGGATGGCAAGCGGATACAGTTACGGCACATCTTGTTCATGATATCCTCGCGGAAGACAGCAATCTCCTTGGTACAGTATTGCAGTCTGTATTGCCATACAGAACACACAGAGTCATTCGATATTGTCGCCGTGCTGTTCAATTGAGCACAGTTCGTCAACCGCTACGAACATTACGCACCATAAGACATGATCTTGTGCCATGTATAATACCGTATATTCTCTATTATAAGCACAGGTCTCCATTACTAGCACAGTCTCTAATACTAGCACACTGTGAGCACCTTTCGAAACATTATAAGCACAGTCTCTATTATTAGCACGGTCTTGGTGGAAATCAATGCGGCATGCATGATATCTAGCATGTATTTCTTCTTGCTCTGTATGGATGCAGTGGTTGAAAAAATATAAGCACGGTCTCCAATATAAGCGCGGTCTCCTATATAAGCACGGGGTAGAGGGGTGTTGAAAAAATATAAGCACGGCGCTTATAATAGAGAATATACGGTATATAATATGTTTCCTCTCCTTCAGCGACATGCATCACGTTGGCAATGTATGACCTTACCCCAGAGTTGACATGGAATGAGCAGCCCATACTTGTAAACAGGTGTATCAGAGAGATGGTCCTGCAAATATAACATGAGTCTCTCATGGTCAAGATTCATGTTCTCGGCTCAATCTCAGCATTACTACTGATAGCTACTCCACCCTTGTGTGTAATATGTGTGCCTGTACTCATTTGTGCACATAATAATTATTATCTTCAAGTAACAGTGTTAAGCCGCACACTGCCCAACTCTATTGCAATGATCGTCCAACAACAGTGTTAGTGACCATATTGAGCAGACTGTTCAGAGTAAGACAGACACACAGTGGCTGACTGGGCAACAGCAGATATGACAATCACAATCCCACCATGCTAACCTGCAAGGGTTTGTGGTGAATGTTGCCAGAGGAACTTTAGAGCATATCTGCTCAGTGAACAGAGTGGGCAATGCGGGTCTAGCAAGAGTACAAAAGAGGACACAAGAAGAGCATACGTTGAGCAACATCCACAACATGCCTACATGTATGTGTGTAATGCACATCAGCATAATATACTTCCCCACAAACAGAAATAATGCACAGCATGAAGGGTGATCGGAAATGAATCTGCCAGAGAGGCAGCAGATGGACAGTAAACTCCCAGCCACTACAATCAACGCCTTGAGAATGTATCCGGTTTGGGGTGAACATTATTCGCCAGCACTGATGTTTGATAATCTAATGTACTAACACACAATTCCCAAATGTACCTGTAAGGTCAATATCAACATTGGGTTTGCAAACCATCCATTTCCAAGAGCCCACTCAGGAGACAAACTGTATTTTCATTGTAGGACCATAATCAACCTCGGCTTGGTTGAGCACTCTTCCTGGTTAGCATCACAATTACCTGCCCTCGTGCAAAGCTGGTTAGCATCAACATTACCTGCCCTCATGCAAAGCTCACTGTGTTTCTCACAGTTAGTGCACTCTGACTTTGATGCTGTGAGCTTTGAGCTGGTTTAAAACATGCTTTGTTGTTCATTACACCTCAGTATGATCGGTTCAGCTGCTGATGAGGCCTAACAAGATGGAAACAGCTAGCTGTCTGGAGCATAAGTATGACCATTTGACCATAGTCTCTGTGTCCAAACTGCCCACCATATGCACTCTCCATCCCACCTTGTTCACCACACCAGCAACACGACTTGTTATGAAACGATGTAGACATTGGCATGAACTCTTCCATACAGCTGCTTCGATCATACAGATCTCATCAGTGAAGGTTGTAAGAAACTCAGAATACTGAATGGCTAGAATACATGCCCTTTCTGAATAGAATCTGCATGGAGACAGTAATCAAGCTATGAATAGGATTGATTGTGCACTCGTGACTCCCTACCTACAGCAAAGCAAAGTACTTCGCTTTGATGTAAGCATGTAGGGAGTCATAAGTGCAAAATTAGTCCTATTCATAGCTTTACTCAGATCAATACCATCATCTCATGTGATCTCTTACCTCGGGAGAATATTGCCGGGACCAGGATCCGAAGGGCCAGGTACAAAAACAAAGCGAGTCCTGGCCAGCAGACAAGAACAACAGCATCACCATTGGCAACCAGTACAGAACACTCAGCTAAGAACAGCCTGATGCTGTCCATACACCAGTGCACGATTTGTCCGTGAAAATGCAAACAATGAAGTGTATTCCACAGGCGTTCATGCAGCTGAGTACTATACTATACGCGCACTGAGCAAACGGAACTGAGAGCTGTTTACTCACTTCTCAAAGCTGGGATAATCGCAAATAAGATCAGCAAGTGCCTTCAGACCATCTGTACACATACCAAAATCAAGAACAACTCAGTTACCATGAGTATGAACCTTTGTGCTGGCACGTAACGTCGTTGAAAAGTTGATGAAAACACCACATACTTACGTGGGCATAATTTGAGGCATCGGCAGCAAGAACCGGGGTCCTGGCGATTTTTCAAAATGCCAATATTTGCGAAAAACCGAACCGATGTCGCTTTTTAGTCACCGCGATCAAAGCGGAAAGACTTCTTGCGATATCGCTTTGAAAGTGCTTTCCTCTTGGTGGCTTCGCTATAATTTTGTTGTCATTGCAGTTGTAGTTTATCCGCCAATCACTTGGGACGTCCAGGTAGGCGTTTTCAGCCACCATGGAGGCGTTTGCACTCTCGGTAGCGTCTGCAAATCATGCGCTGAAAAGAGATCGGAACAAATAATTTCTTGGCGGAACAATCCCGTCACGAATTCTTGATGGAGCACGAGCGACTAGAATATTTGGCAGCTGGATCTCCTGAGATACTCCGCTGCCTGTGATAGTCCCCCGCAAGAATAATCAGGTGAAAGTGAAGAGGTTTCGCTCAGATGACAAGCCATCAGCGGAGGCAGCGCAGACGACAAGTTTGAGAGCTCCGTGACACGAAGTGGCGACGCACACAGCAGGGCTGAGAGTGATGAACGAGATTCAGTACTCCGTGGCGACTATTCGCAGTTGGATAAGTTGGTGAGATACGGAGACAGCCCTGAATGAACTAAACCTTACTTGATACAAGATATTTTGTGAATAAAATTGTTGCAAGTATACATGCACGCTTGCAGTGCGCATGAAATTTGTCACAGTATTATACATGTATCTACGAGCTGCTGTGCATAGGAGAGCAAGCCATGCTTGGTGGATGTATCTGGCTTGGCCCAGCATGCATATCTAGTCTTGTACTAAGTTGCAGATTCTTCCCAGCCATGTAAAACGTCAGTTGCTTGGCTTCTTTCTGTCTGAAAAGTCTGCATACAACACCAGACCTGCAAATGACAGGGATTGGAGTTTTCAAGTAGCATTGCAGCAAGTGCAGGCAACAATGTTACTATAATATCAACTAGAGTACGCTGTGCTTCCCTGAAGACCTATAAATATGGTAAATTATTCTCAGCCACTCCATTAGAGCTAGCTGTAACTGCGTTCCATTTTGCCTCTTTTGCCGACCACTTTTGCTGACCGTCTCCCATCATTTCGGGCGTTCTTTTTACCATCTTGGAAGGTGCCCAGAGCTCCAAAATTTGGCCCATATATCACTCATTTAGTGGACAGTTCAAAGCCATCAAAAACTCATTTTCGCCAAATATCACCTAACCCTGGTTTTTGCTGCCCATGCCTCATTTCATTACATTGCACTGTATTACTAATACCAAGAGTACATAACCCCCCAGAGTGTGCCACGCCTGATCCAGCTCTGCATAGGTCCTGGTCGAGCGTAATCGGATCTTCTGATGTCATGTGTACACTCCACATCAGCTCAAGGCCGGTCTCGAGGCAGGGCACCGTTGTTTTTGATCCGAGAGTACCCGCAACTCTCCGGGTTCCATTCAGATGTGTACGGTATTATGACGCAAAGATCCAATTACGCTCGACCAAGACCCTTTGCAGAGCTGGATCAGGCGTTGCACACTCTGGGGGTTTATGTACTCTTGCTACTACTGTATTACATGTACTAATGACAAGCAAACATACAGGGCGACATCATCACATGATTGACTTGCCTTTCAATGCTTCATAGTACACCGGGCCACACGGCATGGAGCAGAAGTTGCCGCAGAAAACAAACGCTGCGGGCGGGGCTTCGGCAAAGCCAGTGAACAGCACACGGAGCTTATCCAGCACCTGAAACACACACACACGCACGCAAGCACACACGCACGCACGCAAGCACACACACACACACACACACATGTTGCTCATAGTCAGGTACGCTGTCACACTTTATACACATGTAGTACAATTACTTGAAGTATACATAATTATATGTACTATTTAGTATGCTTGATTCATACGGACGCTTGTCACATACATGTATGCAGTCTACTGATCTTCTCGTTCATTTGAAAGAGGGAGTAAGCATGCAGAACACCTTACAGTACTCACCATGGACTGGTCAAGCCAAACCTCGGACAACAGTACAATGGACATTTCTTCATTCTCCTTCTCCAAAGCAGCTAGTTGGGTCTGCATGTGTCACACACACAGACACACACACGTGCACACACACACACACACGTGCACACACGTCATAACATTACTAAATAAACGACCATATCAGTATTTAGAACGAGGTCTGTCTCGTTGTCCAGGAAACGACCAATCAGTGACATTCCCGCCAAGGGCCTTATCAGAGTTTAAAGCCCGCTCAATCGTAATTTTACTACTCTTGATGACGCGTTGAGGGCCTTGGATTAGTTTAAAGCCCGCTGAATATACTCTAAACGGGTGCGTACAACTCCTGTATGCATTATAGTACGGTGCAGATAATGAACTCTGCACAAAATGTACGGTGTACTACTAAAAGCTACGCATTTGAGAAGTGTGTACGGTTTTTGCCTCCCGTATTCTTTCATTTATACGATTTTCGTTTGTCAACAGCTGGCGGAAACCTATAAAAACCGAAGATCAAAGTCATTAGAGGTATCGACAAGGGGCTCTCAAAGCCCCTAAATAGCTCCACAAGCTATGAATAAGAATGAAGCTCGCAATAAGAGCCCAGCATTTCATTTGCTTCCCTTCTACTTTTAGTAGTCCTCAGTGGTGCTGAGTTACCATAACTTACCAGAAGAAAATATTCTTTCATACCACATCAAGTCTCTCTGCACACAAACCACAAAACTACCCAATATAATGATACAAAAGCATAATGGAAGCGAGATAATGCATGTAACCTCGTTCTAAAATAGTTAGTGCATGGCAGGGAGGGTCTTATGGCTTGTTTGTGCCCTTCAGGGTAGCCCTCGGGCCTACGGCCCTCAGGCTAACCTGTCGGGCACTAATAAGCCATAAGGCCCTCCCTGCCATGCACTAACCTATAATTATAACCTACGTGGAGATAAATGTGAAGAAGAGGTTGGTGCGACTTCGGGGCGATACGTGGAGTTAGCAATTTAATTATACCAATAATTGCTGTCCACAGATTTGAGTATTTAATTATACCAATAAAAAGGATCAGCTGCGCACTTATTCTATACACACATCAAGGCAAATTGCTGAGTGAATTCCAAGAACGTTTTCTTGTGAATGTGTGTGTGGTGGTGGTGAAAGAAAACGTTCTTGGAATTCACTCAACAATCTGCCTTGATGTGTGTATAGAATGAGTGCGCAGCTGATCCTATTTATAGCCATATCAGTATTTCCTATTTCAACCCAGATCCGCTGACAAGAGTCAGAAGAATGTACATCAATACTTCAAAATATCTGCCATGTTGGCGACGTATAAATAATTTTATAATTTGCCTTGACAAGTTCAACAAGCACAGCGTGTACATGCACTATGTCAAATGTTATACAAGCCTAGCACATCATCTAGAAGACCTACCGATGCTTTGCAAGTTGTTGTTGAGGGTCCACCAAAAAAGTTCAAGTTTCCCAGATGACTCCTGGAGATCGAAAGTACAAAACATGGCTGAGCTCGAGAACAACTCTAAACATGGACCGCCAGAGCAGCTGACAACATGAGTAAAGTATCAAACAAAGGACCAGACGGCACAGAGAGATCCTTGAGAAGGCGTCACCCCCGCCACATTTACCTGGAGAAAGTTGCTGGCTCTGGCGGTGGAAAACCCAGTGCAGTCACATGGAAAAGCCGGTCTTCGTAAACACCTGGCAGATCACACAGCAGGCAGTGCACATTTCAGTAACGATTGACTGCTAGCACCGGAATGCAAATACTGCAGTACAAGTAAAGCATGCCATGCATCATGCTGCTATGGAAATGTTTGAAGTAGTGCAATTCCTCAAAGCTACGAAACAGATAAACGGTAATCCAGAAAGCACAGACAATGATCGCAAACAAGCCCGTAACAGCACACCCGTACCGTAACAACACATTCACCACAGCACAGACAGCACCAGAATAGGCAAGGTTGATGGTGATTCACTTTGCTTACCTTCAGCCAAGACAAAGCAGTTTTCTGTGAACAGTCCAGAGTGAAATTCCTGAGTGCGCGAGTCAAAGAAAACTCAGTGATGCGTACTTTTCTTCAGTTACACACGCTTATACATACAAATTAAGCTCAACAACTCTTGTGGTCCTGAACTTGTAAAACAACCAACAGGACCACACGGATAAGGACACCAACACTGATTACAAGCAGTTGCCATAAACATGCTGAGAAAAAAAACAAGCAAACAAAGCAGAACGTAGGTGGATACTGCTTGACTGATGTCCATCTCCACCGATCCAGTTGAGTCTTCCAAGAAATAGCTACCCTGTGGTCACAGTGGATGCAGACGTGCCAGAACGGAAAGCTTATACAACACAGGTAACAAGGTCAGATGACAACTCAAATGGCAATGCTTGGCAGGGGATAACAGCTCTACACCAGAGTACAGATCGGAAAGGATGGAAAAATAATGTCAACTAACCTCCTTCAGCTGTGCAACCATGCCAAACACCAGTGCATTGCCCAGTAGTGCCGAAGAGCTTAGTAAGAACTCAACAGGTTGTAGCTGGAGCAAGAGCAAAATATTAAAGGAGACATTAATGCTAATCGTATACTGGTATTGGTCACTCACGTATCCACCACTCATGTTTTCCAGGTTGGTTAAAGTCATAGGTCAATAGTATTGGGCAGATCACTGTAACAAGAGAGTACGCACTCATGGGTCCTCGCATCACTGGCCCTGCTAGGCATTGCAGCCCTTCACCCATGACATACAGTTCTTACCACCGCCTAGAGGCGCCAGGCATTGCAGTCACTCACACGTGACCCTAGTGATCATGTGGTAGATGCGGAAAAAGGGCACAAGCAAACTCTCACTATAACACATACACACATGCACCCATTCAAGGCTGCTGAATCCTGGCTCAGGTAGACATACTATGCCACTATGTGGTTCTTATGGCGGTGAAAATGTCAGACACTTGACTCACCCGGTACTTTGGTGCCGTCTCGCCACTACCCAGGACTGGCATTGTAAAGAGTTCATGACGGAGGGTACGCTGTCAGCAGGGACACCGAAAAAAAAGAGTGCAGCTTACGTACTACTGTAAAGTCAAGTTGTGAAGCGTTTCTTCTACGGCAAGGATGAGTAGTAGCATCAGTTGTACAGGAGTAATTAGAGGAGTACTGTACTAACAAGTCTACTGTATTTTCAGAAATTAGCGCCACATCATTTCAGGGCTTTTGTGTGGATATTTTTCAAAAATGGTGAAATTTCAGGTCTCTCAAACTACCAAGCACCTCGGCCAGTAATGCCGAAAATACGGTATACTTCGAAGTAAGAATAATATTCTTTTTATAATGAAGAAGGGTTTATCGATGCTACGGCGAGAGTTCCACTAAATAGAAGCGTGAGAGAACGATACCCCATCACTTCCATACCTGGTAAAGTACAGTGTAGCGCTCACAGAACAGGGCAGCTTTGTCTTCAGCTGCGCTGTGAATGTTGGCCTTGCTGTGATCTCTGCAAACACGTATCAAATTGAGCAGAGAAGAGGAAAACATTCTACAGTCCAGGTATGACAATAGAAGTCTTTAAAAAAATTCAGTGTCTAAACACTGCAGGTGAAGCAAGGACAATTTCCAGCTTGACGTCAGCTTGCAGAAAAGGTTTTCACAGAAATGCCATGAATTCAATGCCTGAACACTAGCATGGACAATTTGCAAGAGTGTTCAAACTGACATGCCAGTCAACTACGTACATGTAGCTGGCTGATAACATTGCATGGACACAAGACTTCCCAGCCCGCTAGGCAACGTGTCTTTAAAAATAATACAGTAGAGATACTGTAGCAAGAGTAAACTCTTGGGGATCGCTTACGGGACAAACTTCTTCCTGTCAGTGTTGAACACAAACTTGGGCACTCTAAACACCAGCATCAACCAAACAAGAGAAAGACAGTGACAAAAAAGTAGGTCCAATACGAACATTGTGATTTATCTTTAAAGGTGAATCACTCAGCACGGGGGACGTGTTCAAAGTAAAGCAATGACGAAAAGCTTACTGGTCCGGATTGTACGGAGCAGCCAAGAGGGAGCGATTCACTGGAATTCTTGGTGACCACATAACCATTATACTGTAAGAGTTGAAAGTGTGATGAGTCTAAAGTTGAATGAGGTTGGTTTTCATGCCAAGCACACTACATGCCCTTAAGTCCTAACAATGCTCATGAATACGGTGGAAGTTCGTTCTTCACAGAAAAAAGCAAATGGAAGTAGAAAACGAAATATGGCCCATGAACAAACTGCCACTACTTCGAAGTACTAGTACTTACTTAAAGGCATCGATCACCAGGAAACTGTTGCTGCACAGAGAGAAACCAGCCAAGCCAAAAACAATGAGTGCGGCATGCAATTGTGTATGTACTAACTTCCAGGTACACATAACTGTACTTCAGAACAGACAGGTCCTAGTACTCAAGAAAGAAAAGTACAGGCGGGACGTCCAATGTGTGTCTCTTCTGCAGTATGCTTTGTCCCCGCAATGCAACAGAACACAACAGCTAGAACTAGGCACGCTTTCAAGGCATGTCAGAAGTAATTCTGACACAGTGTACGCAACCACATGTATACTACTAGCTCTATTCCTCGATAACTGCGTCTATAGAACATAGGGTGTGTTCCACGAACAGCAGACATTAACACTAAAATCTGGGCCTGGGTTGGGTTCAAGGCTGGTGCAGTCATTACGTACTTGTCATCACTGTCAGCACCAACTCCACATTCTTCAATCACATCTTCAATCACCTCGCGGCTAATAGCACCGGGCTTCACTGCAAAGAACAAGAACGGGGAGAGGATGCCCCACAGGCGGCAGTGGGACAATGTGCAGACTTGTCTACATCACAGAACAGCTGATTCAGGTGTATGAATGATGTTGTTATAGGGCAAAACTGGCGCAATTACGAATTTTCTACATAGAAGTGTGCCTTGCCCCAGGAAACTCAGGTGTTAGGTGATAGCAAACAGTTCTGAAAGAGGTGACGATGCAAGCGCGAATTGCTGGGACTTGGCATGCAGCTTAGCTAGAAATGGTGTGAAAAGCAACCAACAAACAGTGCTCCCTCTTGCGGTCCTGCATCATGTGCCTGCGTGGATGCAGAAGGCTCTTTAGCCAGTCATCTGCCTTGCCTGTGGGCGATACCTCTGCTGCACTAGCAGTGGCAGAGGCCCGGGTACTGGGTTAACGTTATACTGTATGAGCGGTCAAGTTGACTGGATTAATAACTTGCTGCTGCTTACCAAAGTAGGTGTGTACATATCATTATGTTGTTGTGGTTTTGCTTTCGTTTTTTTCTTCTTTTTTAGAACTTTGAGTTGAAATTTTGGAACACTTGGGACAAAATGTTCATTGTGTTTATTGTGCCCGTAAAAGAGGCTGTATATGTATATCATCAAACAGTAACCGTGAGAAGTACTACTAGTAGCCACACATGCACAAACACACGAGCTTGGTGGTGATGTGTAAGTGCAATGGGACGGCCGAGAGCGCATTGTGGAGTGATGGTCTGGCTGATAAACTACCGTAAAAAGCCTGGTCTGTCGCCAACTTCTCCAGCACTATACAGTACATAAAACAACTTCTCCAGCACTATACAGTACATAAAACAACTTCTCCAGCACTATACAGTACATAAAACAACTTCTCCAGCACTATACAGTACATAAAACAACTTCTCCAGCACTATACAGTACATAAAACAACTTCTCCAGCACTATACAGTACATAAAACAACTTCTCCAGCACTATACAGTACATAAAACAACTTCTCCAGCACTATACAGTACATAAAACAACTTCTCCAGCACTATACAGTACATAAAACAACTTCTCCAGCACTATACAGTACATAAAACAACTTCTCCAGCACTATACAGTACATAAAACAACTTCTCCAGCACTATACAGTACATAAAACAACTTCTCCAGCACTATACAGTACATAAAACAACTTCTCCAGCACTATACAGTACATAAAACAACTTCTCCAGCACTATACAGTACATAAAACAACTTCTCCAGCACTATACAGTACATAAAACAACTTCTCCAGCACTATACAGTACATAAAACAACTTCTCCAGCACTATACAGTACATAAAACAACTTCTCCAGCACTATACAGTACATAAAACAACTTCTCCAGCACTATACAGTACATAAAACAACTTCTCCAGCACTATACAGTACATAAAACAACTTCTCCAGCACTATACAGTACATAAAACAACTTCTCCAGCACTATACAGTACATAAAACAACTTCTCCAGCACTATACAGTACATAAAACAACTTCTCCAGCACTATACAGTACATAAAACAACTTCTCCAGCACTATACAGTACATAAAACAACTTCTCCAGCACTATACAGTACATAAAACAACTTCTCCAGCACTATACAGTACATAAAACAACTTCTCCAGCACTATACAGTACATAAAACAACTTCTCCAGCACTATACAGTACATAAAACAACTTCTCCAGCACTATACAGTACATAAAACAACTTCTCCAGCACTATACAGTACATAAAACAACTTCTCCAGCACTATACAGTACATAAAACAACTTCTCCAGCACTATACAGTACATAAAACAACTTCTCCAGCACTATACAGTACATAAAACAACTTCTCCAGCACTATACAGTACATAAAACAACTTCTCCAGCACTATACAGTACATAAAACAACTTCTCCAGCACTATACAGTACATAAAACAACTTCTCCAGCACTATACAGTACATAAAATGCTGGCTGCTCTCTGAAGAAGAAGACTATGAAGCTCCATGTCCAGTTTCTCTCCACTCTACCTAAAACAAAATTACATGCATTATTGTAGAATATGAACCTTGAACTAACTATTCCTACCGGGACACATCTGTATCCAGCCAAACAGAAACAAGTAAAATATTTTGATATCCCCGCAACACACTTACATGGCTTTTTCTGTATGATCTCAATGAATTTCTCCAGCCAGTGCTTGACGTCGCCAGTGCTCAGTCCTTCCAACGCCTCCACCATGCATGCTGATGCATCGCTAGAAATCACACAAATAATGCACTTCATTTTACAGTAAGAAAGTCCCCAAAAAATCAGTTTTTTGTCGGCACGTAGCTTCCCGTTCTATGTGGACCGTGGTCTGTGGAACTCACGATCGTGATCGCGTCCTTGACCTGCTGACCCCAAGAGCGGCCCAGACTGTCGGTGCAATATGCGAGCGTGTAAACCGGCCCTACCCCAGGGGTGCCTGCAGCGGGCAGCCCGGGAGCGAAACACACCTCGTTTCACACTACAATCGCCCATGTCGTCTCCCTAAATGCTACGACTCCCTGATATACAGTAATACACTGCCAGTGCATGTCACATGAACACAGAGTTTGATTGTTGAGACGAAGGCAAGTGAACACCATACATGTATAGTACAAAATAGCATTACTGGCGCTACATGCCATGTCTACCCTAGGTAGCATCTAAGATATTCAAGGAGTCCGGATAAGCCAAATGATCGGGATGTGGAATGAACAGGAGAACTTTGGTCAATCGAATGAAGTTTTGTCTGAGAGATGAATGGCAAGTGTCTGCATTCATGCAGCAGGAGCACGGATCGAATGGAGGGCCTTGTTGTCACATCAGCCGTTGATCTGGAGATGCAGCATAATGTGGAGCTTGCCTCAGAGAAAGGTGCCAGCTGGTTTACACGCAGGCCTCTGAAGCGCCATGGCTTCACCCTCGCGAAAGGTGAATTTTGTGCGGTGAAATTTACCCCTGCTACAAATGGCCGCCATCAAAACTTCCTAGTACTGTCGTGGACATGGAAATCTGGTCGCACGTCTAGCGGCCCCAGGGCGCTGGTCGCATTGGATCAATAAGACTATGAACTGCAAGTGCTGACGGCGCCGGCCCCGGTCAATCGACTGGATTTCCATGTCCGCTACAGTAGCTGCTCCTGTTGCGCCACCTTTACTATCGATCACGGTGTATTATAAATAAAATTGAGCTTCCCAAGCTGGGTGTTCTGTTGCATTGCGCCGTCGAGTTGCAGTTAGGGGCCGTCCATAATTATCAATCTTCTACACAAAACGAAAAAGTTTCGTTTATGGGTGGGTGGGTCGAGGAGAGTTTCGATACGAAAAATATTGATACTTGACAAGTAGCTGAAATATCTATCCATTCTATCTAGTGGTCAAGTCAATCTATTTTTCGTTCAGGGGGGTGGGTCATAACTAAATGTTTTCGTTTCGTGAAAATTATGGATAATGCTGGATGGCCCCTTACACAGTAATGCTTATTGTTTAATGGCCTTGCCCGTCCCCGTATCACCTAGCATGTCTTGGTTATGTACTCGTTCCCGTATCAATCCACCTCTCCTCTTCTCTATCATTATTAGTGACTCCTTATCCGAGTTCTAACTTGCTCATATTGTTTTTTTGTTGTTCAAACTTTCTTTCAAGTGAATACACAATGGTTACACGGAGTAATACAATAGGATACAGTACTGTCGGGCACCGAAGAATGGGGGGGGGGGGGGATCAGGACTCTAGCCTAGCCCGTTCTTATTTGTCGCGAACACAGCCGTTTCGTTCTTATTCGATGGTACAGTCATACATGTACTTATTTCTACATGTTCATGTATGGTAGACGAGTAGATAAACGTTGTTTTTGTTTACATAGTGTTCATAGTTTGACAGCAGCATGAAACAACCAATCCCTCCTCACAGAGCACCACCCTTTGCCCTACGCGTGACATGCAATAGTCAAGATCTGCCGGTGGTACCATCGGCCAAGTATCTAGGCTTACATTTTGAGTCTTTTTGACACGTTAATGTGCTGGCAGGCAATGGTTCAACGTATTGCTATCAGGGTTTCTGTTAAAATAGCTGCCTTAGTCCGCCATGCTGCATCTTTAGTTAGACTTTACCCCTCTCATGTCGTATCTGCTACTTCAAATGCTTTGTGCTGCCTGAGTTTCTGTATGCATCCAGTGCTTATGCCCCATATCTATCTGTTCACCAGGAGCTCCGTTTGGAAGGGCTCTTCAAGCGCGCACTGCGTGCTGTACGTAAAGTGCCCACCTGGACCCCCACTGTTACGCTGCTTGAGCGTGTACATGTCTCTCCCTTGCACGCTACCATTCAACTTAACTTGCTCTGCTTTATATGACGTTGTCTAAATTCTTCAGGAAGTAGATTGTTTGAAACTTTTTTTCGACCTCTTCCGTCACGAAGAACTCGAGGAGGCAACAGTAAAGGCCGATTCACAACACAACTTTCTGCGACGCGACAAGCGACTTGCGACACATGCGACGAGCTGCGACAGCGACACACGGTTCACAATATTCTTCATGTTTGTGACATCCTCATGCACAAGTAGTACTATGCACGTGCACTGCACGTGCACCCAGGGTCGAAACTGTACTCCATTTGTGTATGTCGCGTGTTGCATGTCGCAAAAGTTGAACTTTCTTTAACTTCTGCGACAGGTGCATTGCGACAGCTCGCGACAGGCAGTTTCTTGTCGCAAATCGCGTGTCGCGTCGCAGAAAGTTGTATTGTGAATCGGGCTTAACCTGCTTATCGTCCCTGCAGCTGCTTCTGCACATTCTACCAAATTGGTGACACATGCTGGCGCAGTTCTCTGGAATTCCCTCCATGCGGATATCTGAGGCGTCACCAAACTGGCCGCCTTCAAGTCAAGCGCTTTGCAACACATTCTTGCCTGCTTTTAGATTTATGCCCATGTTTCTGTAGCTGTGCTGGAACTGCTCTATTTCGCCACCACTATTCACCATTAGCCATGTCTCCCCCCGCCTCCACCCTACACCGTGGGTCCATTGTTATTAGGCATCTGCCTGTTTTGGTTTCTCCACTATAAATAAAAGAATACTACTAAACAAGGCAGATGGTTGCAGAAAGGTCACTGTTTCCGAACACGGTGTCCTCCGCTTTGTTTCATGCTGCTGTCAAACTATGAACACTATGTACATGTACTTGTATGTACAGACGCTTGCGATGTAGTTTACATGTGGACTGTTCATGACTGTTGCATGGTGACGCAGATGCACACCTACCTAGCTGCCAGTTCACATGTTTCTGTACCATGAAACTACGGAAATGTATCATCCAGACCTATGCAGATATACTCCTGAGTGTACATTAGGAAGGTTTTGCTCTACGTAATTACGTATGAAAATCCGTATGTCGTACGCGCCGGGGAGCGAGGGCAACTTTCATACGTAAATCTCTCTACGGATTTCCGTAGGAAAGCTCTTTCCTACGTTGGGTCCTCCGTAGGACTTTTTGAAATATTTTTTCGCATTTTCCGCATTTGTCCATGGCAACATTCAAGCCGCGCGAAACACAAGGTACACACACCGTACACCACGTGCAAAATATAATGGAAAACGCGGTTTCGGTTCATGGTGCATGCGGTGGGCGCATGCAGCCAACGCGTCTCCAAAGGAACAACGCATGTTTAGCAGTCGTGGAGAAATCACGTAGAGCGAAACCCAACAGTTCTGATTTTTTTACGTATGAAAATTCCGTGCAGTTCATACGTTATTTTCATACGTAATTCCGTAGAGCGAAACCTCCCTACTATAGTTTCCGTTCTTATCTGCAGAAAATCCAGCCTAGACTGTTCTTAAAAATTGGTGAATATCTAGCCTGGCCGTTCTTCGGCGCCCGACAGCACGTTCAGCCCCCGTTGAAAGTCTGTACGATAGACAAAATAGGTAGGCGTTTACATGAAGACAGTTGACCCGGGTCAAATACTGAAATGCCATCAAAAGTCCACTTCTAGAGTAATGTATGGTCACGTGAATCCTTTCGCGCGAAATTTGCATATGCAGTGCTGTTCAAACCTGGCGCGAAATACGCACAGAAGTACGTTGGTACGATTCTCATCCCAAGGGGAGGGTTGAAATCAACCCTGGGCGAAATTTCAACCCGGGTCAAGCGCAATGCGTCATGTAAACGCGCCATTCATTTTGTGTACATGGCGGGTTGAAATCTGACCCGGGTTGAAACGCCTCATGTAAACACAGCTTATGATACAGGCTTCTGATCAATACATGAAGTCTTGTGTTCTGTTTGAGCCTTTGCTTACGCTCCCATACGAACTCCCATAAACTGGCCTTTACATAATCATTAGCTAGAAAGTTGTTTATGTATAACTATAAGTGATTATAATCTCTCCTGAAACAATGGTGCAGGGCTCTGACACAGTACCTTCTCAGTGTGAGGCCATGCAGCTTAAAGGTGCTGACAATTTTCGACCTCAGCGACATCTGACTTTGGCTTTCAGAGCCTCCGTTGTAACGGCATCAGGACTATCTCCGCTGTGTATAACAGCAATGCGAAAAAAAGCTTTGAAACACTCAGCAAACGACTGATTTGAAGACTACAAAGGAAGCATTTGGCCTAGTAAATGGACAAACAAAATCTGCGATCACTGGACTCATGTCCAGATTTATGACTTATCCTGAGCTGTGAGCTGACTCAGCTGAGTGCTGTTCATGTTCGAGTTTCCCGCGGTTCTGCCATTTGTCACGTGGTCGTGGCTTGACTACATCGAGTCATCGACTGACTGTACTGCACTGTGTCAGTGACTACTGTGTACGTACGTGTACGTGTGTTGGGGAAACCTGACGTCATGATGACCCTAAACACGTACACATTATATCACGTGTAGATCGTATCGTTCGTTGCAGTTTGTTCAAAAAATAGAAACGGAAAAGCAAAAGGCTGCATGCATATGCCGGGAACTTTCCATTGATTATCGGTAATCAGATAATCATGATAATGACACTTGAGAAACTGTAACTGGTCATTGGCATTCTGATTTCTATGGGATTGACAACCTGTCTTCTGCCTTTGGGTGCACGACATTATCAAACACCTAGACTGTGTGTGAACTGCAACATTTGTTGGCAGCCTGAAGCTTTACCATTGGCGGCCTGTGCTATCTGCTGGATGAGACATTATCCTTTCTATCTCATTTTGATTTTCATCTGTGATGGTTGTCATTCTATTAGTTCGTGAGAGCAGCAGTTGTTTATACTTCTCCTGTACGCGATGGTGAACTAGCAGGCATTTACTGCGGATAGGGAAACATGGAGGCTGTCCTGCCTGGTGTGTCGAAACCCTGATATTGGAATTCAGTCATTTGAACTTCACATTCTGCGATAGGAGACCTGATTGTGAAGCAGACATGTATATGACTGCAGTAGTGGTGGCTCTGCTGGGTGTAGCAGTTGGCCTTGGAGGTTCTGCTGTGGGTATAGGGTTGCCGTACCTACTTGTTTTGTTACTGACCTTTGTTGGTGGATACTTGGGAGCTGCTAGTATTGTCCACCGTCTATGTTCAGCCTCTCTTCCAGCCAGTGTTTGGAGAAGAATTCTTCAATTGCCTGGGCTGAATAGGTTTGACCCAGTCCAGGCTACGCTGAACTTTGTCCCACGCCGTGAACGGCCGGTGCGGCATGTCAGTGTCTGTCTGCACCAGGAAACGGAGGCCATCTTCGACTTGATTGTGCGTGACTTTGTCATGTCCTGGTACGAGTGGATATCCAATGATCAATTTGTGCCAGATGAAGTAGCCATGACACTGCATGATGTGCTGGAGCGAGCACATGGACTATTCCAGCAAGTGGATCAGTATGAGTTATTCCGAGAAATCATTTTGCTGGGCCGCATTCATGTGACTTGCTATCAGCTGGCTGTTGAAAACGTGGATCGTAAGGAATCAGCTCCTGACTATCACGAAGGACTTGCCCGTCAGTACCAGAAGGAACTGAGTAAGCTCGTCGACAATCAGCTGGACTCTGGTGGTGAGCAGGAGTTCTTGCGTCGTGTTGCCGACCTGCTTCTCGGCATGCTACTTCCAATGAGTGACTTGGGCTGTGAGCCAGCACGACAACTACTCAACGATGTGCTCTCCGTTAATGTTCTACAACAGGTTGTTGAGCTTATCATAGATCCAAACTGGATCAATGAAATTATTGTTATTGCGTTAAGTGAGACACCGAAAGAAACCCTAGAAATGATTGAATCATTTGACGAGAGCCCAAAGGAAAAAGAACAGAACTCACCTTCTGAAGAACTAAAAAAAACCATTGGCTACCCAGCGATCAGCACCGTTGGGCAGGCTACTTCAGCGAGGAGCACCGCCAGTGAGCGCACTTTGCAGTACCCTGTGGCACCTGCTGCTGCTGCTGCCTCACTTGCCGTCCCTGCAGCAGAACATGTTCGATCACGTTGCGACCTGCCGGAAATCACCGAGGCAGATGCCTTGGGTGAGAGTGAGGATGACGTAGGCCTGGATTGTTCAGCCATTGTCAGTAAGCTTGGGTCCGACGTGATTGGCATCGTTGGGCGCCAGCTTGTGCGGCGATCGTCGCTTGAAATGGAGTATGTCAGTTATGATATTCAGGTGAGTATGCTGTTCAATGTTGTATATAAGCAGGGTTCTAGCCAAAGGGGGGTAGGGGGGCGCAGCGCCCCCCCCCCCCCCCTACTCTGTTTGCGCCCCCCCCCCCCCCCCTGTGAAAAATTGCCGCCCCTCCCCCCCCCCCCCTACTCATTTTCCGATTTTCGTGTTTTTCATGCATAGATGGTTCATAAAGGCACATTTGTCTGGGGTGAAGTCAGGAATTCGCCCCATACGTTGCATTTGGCGTGGCAAGACAATATTGGAAAGTGGAAAAATGGGATATAGGGTAACTGTTTCCCATGCCCCACCCCCCCCCCCCCACTATTTCGACCTGGCTAGAACCCTGATAAGGGTAGTCAGAACTCGGGAGCATTGCTGACCATTTGAGCGTGCACTTCTTTGGTACAATCCAGAACAGGATTGAACCATTATTGAACCGCTTGGGCAAAGGGAGCAGCCTTGTTAATCATTGTAGCTAACAAACGGGACACAGGATCCAGAGTACTCTTTCTGAAACAAAACAAAAACACCCAAATATGAATTGCGTGCACGGTACAACTTGCCGTACCACTGCACATGACATATGTGTATGCGATACAAAGAAGTGTGTCGATTTAAGAATCATTGCTCACAAATCGATATTTCAGCCAGTTTATGTGGCGGAATCTAAACCTGCTTCTGATTCAGCTATTCTGGCCTCGAGCCTGGCGCTGGTGTAATAAGAAGCAGGCCATGTTCCGGTCGACCCAGATCAGATGTAGTCTCAATCAAACATGCTGTTCCAGGGTTCTAGCCAGGGGGGGGGGGGGGGGCAGCTCCCCTACTCTGCTTGCGCCGCCCCCCCCCCCCCCCCCACTCATTTTCCGATTTTTGTGTTTTTTCATTCGCCCCGTGCGTTGCATTTCGCATTGCAAGACAGTTATTTTGAAAATGGAAAAATGGGTTCCGTGGTAACAGTTTTCCCTGGCTGGAACCCTGCTGTTCTGGAGGATCTTGTTTTGCTGGATTATTGATGGCCTGAATTAGAATGCTGTAGATCAGTGGTTGTGAATCATCAGCATGTGGGTGATGTATCCTTGGGAGAAAGGCAACGAGAAGATTCTTTTTTATTCCCGTAGCTATGCAGAAGACGTTACTTCAGTAACGTCTGGCGCTAGCCAGGGTCCACACAGCTTTAATTCCCGTAGCTATGCAGAAGACGTTACTTCAGTAACGTCTGGCGCTAGCCAGGGTCCACACAGCTTTAATTTGGTGTTTGTTTGTGTGTTTGTTTGTTTGTTTGTGTCACGCCTGGCGCTATCCTGTATCTATCCCGTACTGTACCGTACAAGCAAAGACAGCTGGCCACAATATTTTTTGTTTTGTTTGTGCCATCGACATGCCTGGCGCTATCCCCTACCTGTCCCGTACCATCAAGAGTACGGTACCATCAAGAGAATGAGTATATATGCGAAGTGTATGGGGGGAATGCATTCAATGCAGTAACATTTTGTGTGGATTTGTGTGCGAGGCCGAGATCCCACTAGCAGGCTGGCTGGGCCGCCTGTCGACCAGCCCGGGAATCGCATGTAGGCCGATAGCATAATAATTATAACGTATATACAGTCGTGTAGATGTATAGCAGGGAGTCATATTATGTAAACGACTCCCTGCTGTATGAGGAGATTTTCTGGAAAGAAATACGAAGTAGGGAGACGAGTAAATGCAATCAGAATGGATGTTAGTTGCCGTCAGTATAATAATAAGAAGAAGAAGAACGCCCGTGATCGGCAGAGTCAGCGCCGGTCCCAGGAAACGTCAGGACAGACATCCCGTCGACTCCAGAACGCCCGTTATCGGCAGAGTCAGCGCCGGTCCTATAGCTATGGAGAAGACGTTACTTAAGTATCTCTATGAAACGTTTTTGCAATACAATGATGCACCCAATCAAAGGAAAAAGCATTTCCATCAGTTCTGACAACATACACGATGAGCTAGGCAACAAAGCATAGCGCAGGGCCCTGAGCTTTCAAGCTCTCTCGTTTGGTATTTGTTTGTTTGTGTGTTTGTGTCACGCCTGGCGCTATCCGTATCTGACGGCAAAAAAGCATAGGATGTTATAAATTTTTCAATTGTCCTATTTTTTTTTCAGGCATATCCTGGGATTCGAACCCGCACTATCGCCCTACATGCATTCCCCCATACACTTCGCATTCACACCCATTCTTCCAAGTTGCTTCACGTTATTATCTTGCGTTTGAAAGCCCTATTTGAATATTGCGGGCAGCTGTATGTGGCCAGCTGTGTTTGATGGTACGGTACGGTACGGGAGACGGTGTCGCATTACCCTCGATCGTACCTGTCCCGTACCTATCCCTACCGTACCGTGCCATCAAAGACGGCTGGCCACAATGCGTATTCAAATAGGGCTGTCAAATGCAAGATCACAATGTGAAACAACTTGGAAGAATTAGTATGTATGCGAAGTGTATCGGGGGATGCATGCAGGGCGCGCGATAGTGCGGGTTCGAATCCCAGGTTATGTCTTAAAAAAAAGGATTTTTTTAAAGAATTTATAACATCCCTATGCTTTTTTTTGTCTAGGTCATCAAGGCAAAAAAGCATAGCGTAGGGCCCTGAGCTTCCAAGCTCTCTCGTTTTTTACTTCTTCTGCTAAGAAAAGGAATTTCTCAGTGTAGGATTGCTGCCATGCTGCTTTGTGCTAGTACCTGAAATGATTCCATATTGCCTAGTGTTGAACTCCCATGTTGTTCTTCAAGGTATCTTCACAGCCTCCTGCTCCTCTTCTTTTCCCTGTGTTTCAGTTCAAGCCAGCCTTACTGTGGCCAGAAACTAAGTTCACGTTTGAGGCTGTAAGAGAAGTTTCAAGGCGCTACAAGCAGTTCGATGCACTGTTCGCCCGAATGAAGGATAATGTTCGCTTGAGCAAGACGTTACAAGGTGAGTGTCAACACCAACACCCCCACCCCCGTGAAGTTGCATTCTGCTGTATTGCTTTGATATAGACTTAGTTTGCTGGTATGGGATAAGAATTTAATTTACAATGGATCCATACATCGTGTTTGTTGTTGCAGGAATTGATTTGCCCGGAAAGCGCATCCTTCCTCTCCTGACGCAAGCACAAGCTGATGAATTTGGCCGGACTCGTCAAGAACAGCTTGACGCTTTCTTGAAGGTGAACATTGTGCCGTGCTGACGTTTGTTGCGAAATTAAATTTGGTGTACAGTGGCTGATGGTGTGTTGTTGAATGCTGTGTTTGTGGAAACCAGAGTGCATGTAGCAGTGACTAGTCTGCCGGTAGTAAGATGTTGCCTGTATTCTGTGTGCCCTGCAGTACTGCTCTTTTTGTCACGTGCTGCTGTCAATCTGTATGCGTGCATGTGTGTGTGTCTGTGTGTGTATGCGTGCGTGTATGTGTGTGTCTGTGTGTGTGTTCGTCTATTGAATAGGCTATTTGCACGAGTGCAGCATTGCGGCAGTGCGAGGAGTTCAAGTCGTTCCTCAGTGATGGTGCCATGCTAGGCCTGCCTCTCACCAGAATAAGAAGTGACATCATCCGACGCCCTCTCACCCGGGTAGGTGATGGTCTTGCCAGCAGTAACTCATATATGCGTGTGGCTTGCCCACGTCCATGTGCATGTACCTACTACGTGGTACCATTTTTGCACTGTGGATGGTGGATACACTCGGTGTACGTACGTGTGTGAACGGCTGTAAGTGTGCTACATATACGCACCATGTGCTGTGCTTGAGTACTGGAGTACTTAACATGAGACTCCACTATGTTCCATGATCTTTATACGTGTTGTACTGCTCTTTTCCTCTTGTTTTCTATACGTGTACAGGTGTTTGATGTTGTCACAGATGTACTACGACCGAGATCGCACAGTGGTATGGGCAGATTCTAGTTCTTGTCAGACACCGTTACGAATGTACCTTCAATTTTTGTGAAGCAACTGATTTGGTAGTGCTCAGTTCATTTTGCTTTTTGTGAGGAGCCCACTGATACTCCTCTGGGTTTTGATTCAAGAAGTTAAGGGATTCTTTTCATGTCATGATGTCTTTACCAGTGGTTGGTGCCGCATTACAGTCACCCCACTGACCGCCTCTCTGTATATGTGGGTGTGGGTGTATGTGTATCCTTCCGGCTTGTCTTTCATGCACAGGTCTTATCAGCGATGCTCTCCCTGCTTGGCATTCTGAAGTAAGCCAGTGAATCCAGTGTCGATTCACTAATGTGTGGGGGGGGGGGGGTACCCTGCTGCCTGAAGAGTACCCAGTGCTGGTGTCCGCCCTACCGTACATGCAACACCATGTAATCTATAGGCAATTGCCTGTATTGTGCTACAATCCGCACACTTTTACAGTGCCGGAGCTTTCGTTTCTACACTAAATCATTACAGGCAAGTGTAAGGCGGCGAAAGGAGTTAGAAGGACTTTGGGATGGCTGTTATTGAACACAGGACAACAATCATGTCATAATGCAGACAATATGTACCATGCAGTCAACATAGATTCTTGTTGCAACATGCACCACACTACATCATAGACGGCTTGATCTGGTGTGCAACATTTCCTCCATGATGTACATCTTATCTGTGTGTGCTTGTGCGTTTGTGCGTGCCCACACTTATCTTCTTGCTTTGACTAGGTTGGTGACAAGGGTGCAGTGGGTGTGTTTCGTGCGTTCACCCGCTCCTATTCAACAGCACATCTAAAGATAGACCCCGCTACCAGTGCACAAGGCAGCGATGGTGCCATGACGGCTGTGGTGGCCTCGCTGGAACCTTCACCTGCTGCCGTGGAGTGGGAACTGCGCTGTCTACAGTGGCAGCATCGTACCGACCAGGCTGTGCATAGCACATGGCGTGGCCAGAATACTGTGGAGTGTGAGGATGCACTACGCTCTGTTATGTCCTTGCAGCAGCAGGTTGATCCAAGACCCGAGCTTGAACCACGCAGTTTGTGCCCACGTGATGCCGACTTTGCTATTCTTGATCGCCGGTGGCCTGTAGCTACTGCGTTAATCGAATTGGGTACTGGTGCCATAGCCGAGCAAAACCTTCTGAAGTCCGACTTGGTTCAGAAACTTATGCTCTGCGGCATTGGAGCTATAGTGGATAGGTAAGGTTGACACTACATGTACAACTTTACTGTTATGTGTGCTTACCTGCTGTTAGTGTAGCTGCTTGGTAGTTTGATCTTTGCATACCAAGGACAGTATTCATTGCAGGCATCCAAACATATGAGCTAGAACATTTGTGCAAAACTGCGAGAGCCATTCAATCCCGAAATCTGCCATCCTGAATATGTCAAGTAGCCTGCAATGTTCGTCCAGTCTTGATTAAAGCAGTACTTCATGCATGCTCTGGGCTGTTTCGTTTCGCTAGGTTTGTCTGCTCTGAGCTGGATGAGTTGTTGCGTGAGCGGAGACTTGCTTATATTGTGCGACTGCTGCGAGAAACTCTGTGGCCCGATGGTCACTGGCCAGAGACCTCGTCCCCTGTTACAAAGTCGGAAGAGGAACGGCAAGCTGCCAAGGAAGAAGCTTTGAAAAGCCTTAAGGATTTTCTCCCAGGTAACGCAATTTTATGAGGGAACATGCATGTACACATTGCCTTTTGCTAGACATTTCTTACCCCCGGCCAGTTTTCATTCATGAGATGCTCGGCTGAGAACATTCCTCATTCTGCTTTCTCTTTGCAAGATCAACAACTCATCAGTTGGGTGGTATTGTTTGAATCTTACTGTTTCCTGCTCTTCTGACCTTCTCATATCATTATTATTTGAAAAGATAGCCCCAACTCTACTCAGAGAGAAAGGCAATTTCTGCAATCAAATCAGGGCAAAGAAGGTTGGTGTGCTGAAAGAGATATTGGGACAAGTGATATTTGATTATTGCCTTCTACTGTGTGTTGTGGGTCTTGGTGGCCCGCTGTTCAGGATTCTTGCGAGTCTTCGTTGGACCTAGCGCATATGATCGTGCCTTTGCTCAACTTGTCGAATCGCTCCAGCACCGGGAGATCAACAGGTACGGTCACAGTGTGGTCTGCAAGTGTGTTGTGTTTGTGTGTGTGTGTGGGGGGGGGGGGGGGGGGGTGTTAGCTCTGGAATGTTGATGCACGTAGGCCTATGTATGACTTCAATCCATCACAGACTTTCATACTGTCCATCCATAGATAACATTATATTGTATAAAGCGATTGTTGAGGAATGGGTTTGCTCCCACACTGGAGCGGTTGTGTCCAATCAAATGAAATGGCCAGATTTGTGTTTGTCGGTGGTTACTCATTGTGGGGCTGCAAGGTTTGTGTGCAAGTCTGATGTCCGTAACAATGCACTCCTTACACTGTATGCTAATTATGTGAAGCATGTGTCCTACAAGTGTGTAGTGCATTCCTTTGAATATTGGCTGCTGACTGTCCTATAAGTGGACCTATTTGATATTGAAACAATTTCCAATTTTGTCGTTCCAGGTGCCTGGCATATGCCTTGTTCAATGTAGTCCTGGAAAGCTTGGCCTCGTTTCGGTCTCCATCGGACTCGCCGCAGTCTGCCGAGCCATCTATTTCCTCAAAACTGCCTGCATCATAGTGCCCCGCTTACGTATCGCAGAGCTGATTTTTCATAACCAGCACCACACTCTGACCGCTAGTGTTGGTTTACTTGAGTTTCTATTCTAGGGAGATTGTGAGGAGGTTTTTTTAACTTTTTACTTCGAAGTATTGCTTTCTTGCTGCCGTGCATGTCAGATTTTATTGGTATCAAAATTCAGCGTCTGGAGTGTTGGTTGCTCCGTATTACTGTTACTTCTTGGCAAGCTGGCCAATACGAGTAGTCTTGTCTTGCTTGTAGTCTTGCCCGTACGTACAGGCAGCAGTGCCGGCTACTGTGACCCTGTGATTTAACGCCAATATTAGTCTTGAGATCACTTACTTGACATAGGTTGCTACAGGCCAGCTGGTATGATGCCTGTTCTTTATGATTATCTTTATTCTTTACTCTTGTCAGTGTTTGTCATCACATCTTGATTTGTTCACTTTCTGGTTGCAGCCTATGTGGTATTTATACATGTTGCGTCATGCTGGAAGAAGCTGTACGTGAAGAACACTAGTGTTTTATTTTTTATTTTTTTAGTTGGTTTTGTTTTATTGCTGATTGAACTGATCGTGAAATGACTATCTGGACATGTTTCTATTCTTTGAATGTTGTGATTCTCTTTCCTGTTATGATGATCCCTGATCATTGATTAATGTACTCGGGACTCTTGTTCCAACCATGAAGAGTTATGGTGTTCACGTGAATGTTGCTGAGAAGATTTGTTTGTCTACACCTACGGAACAGAACAGAACAAGGACAACCAGGGCTACACCTACATAATTATAATATTACCAAGGTCCAAGAGTACAATGTACATAAGCCCCCATGCATGGGGGCTTATGTACTCTTGATCATTACCTATAATTATCATGGCATGGTGTCACCTTTGCCATTTAGGTGTTCAGCTGAAAACTAGTTGGTAATGGTTGTTTCCTATAGGTGGTGGATTTGGGGCTTCTTTTCAGCAGTTGTGGGAGTGCCAAATCATTTTGTACTGAGCGCATTCAGCTGTATTTTCAACCATACTTATACTAAGTCTTCATATCCACGGAGATTGAGTCCAATTGTGCACAGTGAAACTTCAGTATAAAGCATTCCACAGCATTGTCACAATAGCACTTGAGGGTAATCATAATCACACATCGCCAGTCTGTCGCTCAACAGTTTGGACAGAACCCACAATCCTCAAATCATTCTGGAGAAGAATAGGCAAGATGAGACAGATATAAACATACAGGGTCACAAGAGGTACGGGTGGGGTGGGGTGCCTTGGGGAGGTAGATCTACAATGCATTTTGGCAACCACCATCTTGGTTTTGACAGTACAAGACTCGATTTGTAGGACAGGTGTACTGGTATCAAAATGATCTTCTACCTCTTTATTCCCCTCCTGGTGACCACTCGCACAATCCGTTTTCAGCTTGTTAGGTTAGATTGCTGCCATCGCTACATGATTGGACTCCAGTGAGCACAACCACCTAACGTTACACATGCAAGCTGGTTGGCTTTGGCCAGGGTGAAACACCATAGTGAACAACGACGGCACCTACAGTAATTGATTTTAATAGAATCACCGGCTGAGCTGATTTGGTCACATTGCACACAAGTAGAATCTTATAACGTTAAATACGTTCATGGGACGAAAGATGTTGCGACATCGGCGGTGATCAGTGAAGAAAGTGTCTGCTTCGAACGTCGAAGGTCGCGCTTCCCGCCGAATGACTTGACACTTGATTGACCCACGACTGCGTCTGGAGCACACGAGAAGCCCGTTGAACCTTCCACTCGGCAGACCTGCAAGAAAGCACCACTCCCTGCTCAATACAGTGTTTCGCGGAATTCAACCCTCATCAGTTGAGCTTGAGTAGGCCAATGAAATTTCTGCTCCGAGAGCACTGCATATGTAGTGTAGTGCTCACCGAGGCAAAACATCACTAGGGATACCAACTTACAGTGACGCACTACATAATGCAGTGCTCTCGGAGCAGAAATTTCATTAGCCTACTCAAGCTCAACTGATGAGGGCTGAAGTCCCCGAAACACTGTGTACTGAGCAGGGAGTGGTGCTTTCTTGCAGGTTTGCCGAGTGGAAGGTTCGACGGGTTTCTCGTGTGCTCCGGGACGCAGTCGTAAGTAGTGAAGTGTCAAGTCAGTCGGCAGGAAGCGCGAGCTCCGACGTTCGTAGCAGACACTATCTTTACATTCATCTGCATGTACTGACCGCTCTCGCATGTACTGTCACAATCATTATCGATCATAACGATTATCGATTTTATCCATACCGAGTGATATACGAGTAATCGGTATAATCGTTTCGGCCCAGAACTTCATAGGGTTGCATAAATTGTATGGAAGTAAAGACCAATACAATGCCAGTGAAGATAAGGAAAAGAGCAAACCAGTGAACACACATCAAGTGACAACAAAGAAGGAAATAATTAGCAAAGACATACAGTAGCATAACAACATCAGCAACAGCCCAGTAGCTACAAGGATCCATGGCAGCAAAACAGAGGCTACATGCGAGAAAATAAACAGCACCACAGACAACGAGGAACAGGCTGCAGAAATTGACTTCTTCGGTGTGATACTTTTGAAGCATAGTGTTGCAAAGAACAAGAAGTCTGCCAACGCAGCCATACTTGCGTATCGGATCTGCATTGCAGGGAAAGGAAGTTCATCTCTATCATCGTTAAAGAGACATGTCATTGATGGAACTTTCTACCTGGCTATCCTCGCGTTCGTGTCCATCGTAGAAGCTACTGCCGTCATCTTCAGAGATGCTCTCGTGCGTACTCATCATAGCGGAGCCAGACAGTACTGCACACAGCACACACAATAAACAAACAGTGAGACAGAAACGTGTGCCGAGGCCCGTATTTGTCCAGACAGTACACACCAAGGCAAGATTACAGAAATTGGCGCACACCTTGCCAAGACCCATCACAATACACATAAATCCTCAATATAGTCCGCTAGGAGCAAGTCCTCCTTCTCCAGAAGAGAGTATACAGCATCGTATTGAAGTGCTAGTGTACAAAGATCTGGAAAACAGCACGGAAGCTGGGCACAAATACTGCAAGATTTACTTCTTCACATCTGATATACATGTGGTAAACGGTGATGATTAGGACAGCCACTAAGGTCATCACTGGCTAATATAATATATGCATTCCCCTCATTCAACATTTATTCCCAAGCACATGTGACGTAAAGCAATCTATGGGCACAGAGAGACAGGACCAATAGTGGTGGAAGGAGAGAGACATGGCCAATAGTGATGGTCAATCGTTAGAAAGTCCAACTGTACCTCTCTCATCTTCTTCATCTTCACTGTCGCCGGCAGAAGTATCAACGGTGGTCAGGCTGTCAGATACCAGGTTGCCAAGAGAGGTTTGAACCATCACACTCATGTTCTTCGGGTCAACACTGGACGCCCAGGCCAAGTGTGTCCTGGCTTCAGCCACCTTGCCCAATTTCATGTAGATCTGCAGACCAGGATATACAGAAATACTACTTCACTTCATCAACGTCAGTCTCACTCAGGTAGAGCAGCAGTGGTAGAGAATACAGCCACGTTAGGTGTGGTTTAATTACCGGTATTCACCAAAGCAACATGGCTGCTGCACAATAATAGTGGCTCGGCGGAAAATTGTATGAAGTCAACAAAACGCGCCAGGATGTTCATAACACATAGACATGTACGTGTAGCTGCAATAACAAAGGAGAATAACAGGATCAACAGTCACAGCAACTACACACTGCTTAACTACTACATTACAGTACAGCATCGTAGTGTACCTTGCCAAGCAGATAATTCACAAGCGCTTCCTTCGGTGAAAGCTTCTTCACTATTTCCAACAATTTGATAGCATCCTGAAAAACAGGGAGAAAGTCAACAAGTGTACAGAAGTGTGCAGAACGTCAGAAGACCCGGTGTGCAGAACGTCAGAAGACCCGCCGGTGTGCAGAACGTCAGAAGACCCGCCGGTGTGCAGAACGTCAGAAGACCCGCCGGTGTGCAGAACGTCAGAAGACCCGCCGGTGTGCAGAACGTCAGAAGACCCGCCGGTGTGCAGAACGTCAGAAGACCCGGTGTGCAGAACGTCAGAAGACCCGCCGGTGTGCAGAACGTCAGAAGACCCGCCGGTGTGCAGAACGTCAGAAGACCCGCCGGTGTGCAGCACGTCAGAAGACCCGCCGGTGTGCAGAACGTCAGAAGACCCGGTGTGCAGAACGTCAGAAGACCCGGTGTGCAGAACGTCAGAAGACCCGGCGTGCAGAACGTCAGAAGACCCGGTGTGTAGAAGGTCAGAAGACCCGGTGTGTAGAAGGTCAGAAGACCCGGTGTGTAGAAGGTCAGAAGACCCGCCGGTGTGCAGGAAACAAGTAAAACATGCATGTGAGGTGCATGACTCTAAAGAGCTCCCTGATCTGTCGGTGTGTCTGGGTGAGCACGAGGGCAAGGACTAACCTGGAATTTGCCTTCGCGAGTTCCCAACGAGGCCAGGTGAAACACGGGCAGAGGATCTAAGCGGTTGAGACGCGAGGCTTGCTGCAGTACTCGCCTTGCACTGCCAAGGTTTCCTTGAGCATTGAACGCCTGTGGCAATACCACAACACACACACACATCCACACAGTCAATGAGCAGCAGAATTAGCACTATTTCACACATGTTCTGAACAGTTCAGGAATTGGCCACGCAAACAATGAAAGTTCATCACTCCACACCAGATTCTTCTGTACGGCCAGGTATGACGGACATCCTAGTCAAAATACCACTACAATAGCAACATCTGACCAACTTACACATTGTCAGCCAGTCATGTTTCCACACCCCGGGCAGGATATTACTGTAGTACTGTACTACTAGTATTCGACGTAGTATTCAGCACAGTAGACACTGCACAATAGCAAGCCAGTAGGGGTGCTGTGCGGCTTGCAGAGTTTTTCTGCGACGATGCACTCACATACTAATACATGCATGAACACACAGACACATACACACACCTACCAGCCCAACATGTGTCAGCACCACAGAGCTGGAACCATTGATCTTGAATGCCACTCCAAAGTTTTGCAGTGCTTTAACGAAATCCTCCTTTTGGAATGCGATCAGACCCAAGCCAAACCTGCAGTAATGCAAAACGAGCACACCCACGTACACCCCCGACGCACCACACCCCACACACACAAGTGCACATTTAGAGTCAGTAAAGAGTATATCGGAGGTCAAAAACCAATTTCTGTCTGATTTTGTTCAAGTTTTCAGGGTTGAAGCATCATGAAGGCAAGCAAAATTTAGCTAGTGTGTAATGAATCCTTCCCTATGTTTAGGGCCTGTGAAAGCCACACCCATACGTTCGCATTTATGTCGTGAAATAAGAGAAAAACCTAATTTTACAAACAGGGCCAATTTTGCAAAATTTAAATTTCAGAGCATTTTGGCACCATATCGAATTGGGGTTCGGAATACCAGTTTTGTCTCCTCACACAGAAGCCTGTACTTTCAACCAGTGCATTTTTTTGCTGAAAAATCTACCCTGACATGTCTGATACTATGGGAATTACTGACATGATGACATGAAGCAACAGATGAAAGTTGGAAGCATTTTATCGTCATCAATGCAAACCTGTCTCTTTCTTAGAGAACGTCTTGTTCGGGCTACTTCGAGGGGCCATAAACCCTCCAAAGTGCCCAATTACATACCCTAATATATTGATTTTCTCATTCTGGACACCCTAGCATTGCAAAAAAGGTGTCAAAGGGTAAGTACTGTACCGTAAAATCCCGCCAGAGCGCCCCGTCTCTCCCATCCGCCCCTCCCTGACTTCTTGTCAGGGAAGTGATTGGTTGTATCCTCGTATGACCCTGTGATGCCGTACTGTACTGCAGACGGGTGCTCGACCCCGTTGGAAATGTACGCAACAGTGCCCACCCTCTTGACCAGGGATCGCACAAACCCTGAGTTTTGATGGGTCTGTACGACTCCTGGCTCTTGACCTTTGGTCGGTGTACGAGATGCAGGAACAGTTTTCGTAGGGTGAGTACTTTTTCATGTAGTACCGAATGCGGTAAGTAGGACTCGCCCATCCGCCCCTCCCCACCTGGACCTACTCGAAGGGTGGTGGAGGTAGGGGTGCTCTGGCGGGATTTTACGGTATACCCTAAAATCAAATTTTCACCAGTTGTAGTCTTCTGGGTGCTAAGTCGAATGGTCTTGGTCCGAGGGAAGCTGAGATGCTCCCTTCCTCCTTTATTCACAATCGAACTCACCACTTCCACCGAAACTGGGTGACTGCGCCCTACTAGATGGGGATTTGTATGGAAAATATCACTAAAAGCGCCATTCGTTCTTATAAAAGCACGTATGACCGCGATTGGCCCATAGGTTGTAGTCTTTTGGATGCCGAGTCGACTGGTTTTGGTCCGAAAAGGCTGCGATGCAGCGTTCGGCCCTTATTCCCAATCGAACACATTGAGTAAGCGGTCAGGTGCTCGTGCGTACACCGTCACCTGGTCACCGTGCCTGCAGGCTACAACTTTCACACTAAAGTTCAACTCAAAAGGTTCAACTCGAGTGACAGAAACTCGCCCAAACATGCTGTAAGTTGTAGCTTGCGGGCACGGTGACCAGGTGACTGGTGTACGCATGAACACGTGACCGCTTACTCAACCGGGTTCGATTGGGAATAAGGGCCGAACGCTGCATCGCAGCCTTTTCGGACCAAAACCAGTCGACTCAGCGTCCAAAAGACTACAACATAGGAGTCAATCGCGGTCACCTGTGCTTTTTATAAGAACGAAATGGCGCTTTTAGTGATATTTTGCATACAAATTCCCATCTAGTAGGGCGCAGTCACCCAGTTTCGGTGGAAGTGGCGAATTGGATTGGGAATAAAAGAGGAACGGAGCGTGTCAGCTTCCTTGGACCAAGACCATTCGACTCAGCACTCCGAAGACTACAACTGGTGAAAATTTGATTTTAGGGTATACCGTAAAATCCCGCCAGAGCACCCCTACCTCCACCACCCTTCGAGTAGGTCCAGGTGGGGAGGGGCGGATGGGCGAGTCCTACTTACCGCATTCGGTACTACATGAAAAAGTACTCACCCTACGAAAACTGTTCCTGCATCTCGTACACCAGTTACTGGTGAAAATTTGATTTTAGGGTATCATCATCTGCGTTGCCGAAAAAATAATAAAAGTAAAATTTAAATAATAATAATAAACGGCATTATGCAGCTGTGTAAGCAGTAGATGCACAGGGCATACTTCCCCTTTAAGAAACACAACTAGCTTACTAGTACTTGCAGGGGATTTCACTTGAACCAGGCCACTACCATGCCTGATTATACCAAGATGGCAGTTGCCGCAACGCCTAGCGGCGAGTGTGAGATGGTAAAGCTGTGTTCATAATTGGCACGTGTACGCGTGCAACCAAGCGCTTGTCTGTATTTTGCTGACTTTTGGGGCGTCGTGCGCATGGAAACGTGCCAAAATGGAAATTCCAACATGTACTTTTCAGCACATATTAGGCGTGTAATGGTGTATATGAATGAAGTACCCAGTTGACCGTGGGTGTTGGGGATTAAGATTTAAAAAAGCTTGTTTCATATTGTCTGTTGTTAGAGTATGGTAAGTAGCATGTCCTAAAAACACATTCACACTCCCTATCAAAACCATACCAAGTCAGTCCACAAGATGAACAAACTCACCATGCATTGTAATGACGTGGGCAGATCTCGATTGCAGTGCGAAAGCAGTGGGTGCTCTCATCAAATTTCCTTAGCGCGCACAGCTCTGATCCAAGCAGAGAATGTGCATACGGAAACGACTCGTCCGCCTATATGTGTACAAAAAGACACACATTCACATGCAAACACATGGTCACAGATACACTGAAACACTCGAATGTACATGTTTGTGACATAGCAAGTCTGTTTTCTGGTCTTTTTTCTATATAGTCGTCCCTCTCTAATCCGGCACTTGTTTATCCAGCACCCTTGCAAACCAGCACACTTTCTGGCAAAACGGATTTTTTAAGTTCATTTTCTACGCTTTAATCCGGCACTTGAATTCCGCCTCCAGCAGCGATTTTCTGCAACAAATCACTCAAACCGTACATAATTCGATTTTCTAATCCAGCAGTTGTACACCGCACACTATCAAGGAGCATTGTAACATACACAACACATGTAACATACACTTGGGAATATCCTATGCCAGCGCATAGGATATTCCCCGGCAAGTGTATGTTTAAGACATGCATTCCACAAAGCACTTGGATTGACACAGAAAATCCCTACGTTTTGACGTACGACACTAACATGTATGTTAACATGTGGGCCGGGTTGGAGGGCAGGATTTGATAATCCAGCACTCTTGTTTATCCAGCAGAAAATGCAATTGCAAAAGGCGCCGGATTAGAGAGGGACGACTGTATATGTAAAAAATAGTGAATTCATGAATACTGTACCACCCTGGGGCAAAGCATTTACACAATATACAATGCAAAACCATGTACAAACACACTGATTGAGATGAGATCCATGCTGACATTCTACCTGTCACACTGCCCACTGCCCAAGCTGACGAAATACAGGGAGTTTGATTGGGAACATGTCAAAATGAAGCATTCGGACAATCAGTTTCAAGGTAAACAACAAGCATGGACAAGCAAGCGCCCTACCTTAACAGCCTTTTCAAAAAACTGCACTGCAGTCTCGGGTTCTCGGCTCAAGCTAGCACTGTTCCCCGCAGCACAGAGAGTCTGACAATCACACGGCATAGGAAACAACATGAGAGCACATCGCACCTCAGTTTTACTGCCCACAGGCAATGGCCTCAGTCACTATCTGGTACACATGAAGTCAGGATCCAGAAACAGTACTCAAGAAAACAAGACAGCATTGGAGTGAACGATACACGCATGAGCAACCTGAGTGACACAGTCCTGCACACAGTCCTGCACAACGGAGAGGCCCTTGCTTTCTAACAACGTACTGCGGACCAAACATGGCATACTAGACTACAGGTATGGCTTCTGTACAGTATAACTTGGCTCGTTGCAAGTGGTGAGTGCACAAATAATGCTCCAATTCGTGTGCTTACGGAGGAAGTAAATAGCGTATATTCTCTATTATAAGCGCCGTGCTTATATTTTTTCAACACCCCTCTACCCCGTGCTTATATTGGAGACTGACCGTGCTTATATTATTTCAACCAATACATCCATACAGAGCAAGAAGAAATACATGCTGGATATCATGCATGCAGCATTGATTTCCACCAAGACCGTGCTACTAATAGAGACTGTGCTTATAATGTTTCGAAAGGTGCTCACAGTGTGCTAGTAATGGAGACCTGTGCTTATAATAGAGAATATACGGTATGCAAAGAGAGGAGTCCGGTCAAGAGAATGCGCTTACTTCTGGGCGATGCGGAGCAAAAGTGTTGAGCTTATTAGCCAAGCTTGAGAGCGCTGTAGCATCATTGAGTTGCCAGAGACAAGATGAGTATGTATCCATGCCTGCAAGACAGCCACATCATCCGTATGCTCAGGTAAGCCAGCAACGGTATAGAACATAACTTCTAAGCTTCTTGCGGACTCAATGATTCTCAAAACTTTGCTCAATTCCATGACAAGCTAACGTTACACCAGATCAATGGACACGTGGAAAGTACACTGAGTCGAACTGCTCCACACAAAAACCCAAAACAAAGCCGCAGTAAACTCATCAAGAGAGAAAAATTCTCTCCAAGATCCACACGTGAATTGGGCACATAGAAATTCACCGCAGCAAGGAAGTCAATGCATACACTCGGACACACGGTCCGAGTACTTGTGCACACGGATGAGGAGGCACACGCACACGCACACACACACACACATGCATACACACACACACACACACACACACACATGCACAAAAATACAGTGTACCCAATTGGGAATTAATGATTTTTAATCATCACATTGTTTGCTTTAGATGTCAGCTTGCACATTGTATCTGTACTACGACACCAGTGCACGTAATACCGTACCATCAATACAGTATGGGTGAAGCATCGCAAGTTGCTTGTACGCCTTCAACGCCTGCATAAACACCAGAAAGCATATTGTATCTGCACTGCTTCAAAATGGTGTCTGTTTGCTGGTGTGTGTGTGTGTGTGTGCGCGCGCGCGCGCGCGTGCGCATGCATGTGCGTGTGTCATGTACACATTCGTATTGCAAATAAATAAGAAATACATGAGCTCCGAAACAGGTCATACCGATGTGTAACGTTGTATTTCAAAGTATGCCTTGGCTGTCTTGCGTAGAACATAAGACGTGTTACGCATCCATGTGGGTAGTTTTTCAAACAACGACAAGGCTGACTGAAGCTTGAATGTCATTTCATTGGCCACCGCTACAGCTAGACTACGAAGATCATCCATCAACGATCCTGAACAGGGCACACAAGAAAGAAAGAATAGCGGAACTGGTGAACTGCGGTGCAAACCTGGCCAGTCAAGCAGGACGACCTACAGGTAATTTAAAACGGAAGACACATTTCATGGCATCAACCCTAAATTGTCCGACAAAGGGCCGAAAGCCAAGATCTGAAATTCGCACTGCCGTGCCAGGAATGGATGCCAACCCCCTTAGCACTCATGTACTCCTGGTGAAACACAAGCCGCTGAAGCGGTAGGCGAACAAAGAGTGTGTGTGCAGGCGCGTACGCAGGGTCACTTCTAGGGGGGTTTCCAACCGAATCACAAACAATGAGTTTTTTAAACCCTTTTAAAGAGCCATAGAAATTTTTCAAAATTATGCATTATTCGTGTTCCTTGGATCATAACTTCAGTTCTACTCATTCAACCTTCATAATCTTGGGCTCCCTGGAAGTGGAAAGGTATCCAAGAGAGGAAGAGAATGAGGTTGACCATGATAGCCAGGACACTGCAGGCGCGTAGCACTGCCGTTGGAGGCGGTCCGGGTGGTCGGGGGTGTCCCCCGGGAAATTTTTGAAATTAGGGTGCACAATCCTGTATTCTGGGCGCTTTTGGCATTGGTCCGGGCACTTTTGGCATTGGTGGGGGTGGGGTGGGGGGGGGGGGCCGGACCGGCTGCTACGCTCCTGCACTGTACCTGTATTATAATTATTAATTTTATAAGTGTATACATGTACATGATCCAGTGCTAGAGGGCAGCAACGGTGCGAGAAATGCCCCAAAGGCCCAAACGCGTCCTGCTCCAGCGATTTCGTTTTTCTCGATAGCAGAGTTTCGATTGTTTTGCTGTGTACTCTTGAGAATATCACAAGTGAAGCCCCTGCAAATCTGAGCCAGTCAATGTGGCGAACAGTCTCAAATTCTCGATACTCGAGTCGCACTGCACGCTTTGGAAATAATTAAATGCCGAGATCGCGGCTCAACTTACGAATGATATATCTCCAGAAACATTGCTCGTAGCGCATCGAGAATTGCTTCTACGGACAGCTGAGCGTTTTCTATTCGACCTGGATATTTGGATTGTTGGAATTGAGCGAGATTTGACCGAGTTACGATCTGTTGAAGTTTGCATTCTTGTCAGATCAATCGCGTGCCCTACCAAAAAATGCCCAAAAATGTTGCTCGTTGGGAACATTTGGGGGGGGTTTCGGGGCAACGGGAAACCCCCCTGCGTACGCGCCTGGTGTGTATCTGAGAGAGAGAGAGAGAGAGAGAGAGAGAGAGAGAGAGAGAGAGAGAGAGAGAGAGAGAGAGAGAGAGAGAGATGACAAGATATTTTTGTTTCAGAGAGCTGAGCACCCTCCCAACATACACACCAGTATGTACGAGGCGGAGTATTGGACAGGATCCAAGGTGGTACTGGCAGATATCAGTACAGTCCTACCTGTGGTCGAGGTCAATATTCCCATTCTCTCGTGCTAATCTTTCACCTCTTTTATCACTATGCCATTTATCTAATCTGATATTTGACCTTGCTCGGCATGCCGATATGTGATATAGGCACGCTCACCAATAGAGCTGGCTGGTGCTGGAAAAATACTGGATACTCGCTAAGTTTGTTGACTGGCTGTCTTCACAAGACATTGGATAAACAATATTAATATCCTTACCCGTTGTAGACGTAAAGTCTTCTTTGATCTCCGAGAATGGAGGTCGAACTTGTGGTGCAGGTGTTTCAGTTGCCACAAGACTGTCGTCCGGCAAAGGCCTGTCACCATACACAGATGATGGCATCTGCACGTGTCGGTCTTGCATCAGTCGGCGAGCTGCAGATCGTGTGACCGGTCCGGCCGATAGCGGTGCAGGCGTAGATGCAGCGCTGTTACTTGCTGACTCAATGAACAGTTTCCTGCCAGCTGGAGGGTTCCACGCGCCTCCCTGTTTCGTCTGCAGCAGAGAAACAAACGGAGCAATGAACCGACCCCACACCTCACATACGCACTGTACTTGAAATAACAATGGACAAACTGAAGTAAAGTCTCGGCACAATCCACCTCACAACAGCCAGTCCCACCTGTCCTCTCCAACAGTAAATGGATCATGCACACACAAGACGACCATGCAGATTTTGACAAAATACTAGGTTGAATAACTATAGGCATGGACTCCAATAGAAGCTCAGGATCAGGACGGCTTGAAAAAATATAAGCCTGGAGTATAAAATGGAGATAAAGACTGTATTTCTTGCCTGTGGTAAATCAACCATCTCAACACACTTGCCAGGCCATGCTCCCAATGACCGTGTTGCCTAAGCTAGAGAACAGGGTGCAAGTGATCAAGCGACCTCTGCCTAGTACCAATGGTTGAATAGATTTTTGGTTGGAGGAAAGCAAATCAGCACACGAAGCACAGAAGCCATAATTTTTTTTCCATTTTTCAAGTGCTATTTTTGTCAATGCTCTGCCCGCCAAAAGTGCCGGTTATAAGGACTTGCTTACTATCACTGTATTCGACCTGAAGAGTAATGGAATGAAAGGCCTAGTCGGAAAAAAATTATATGGCTTCTGTGCTTCGTGTGCTGAAGTACCAATGGTATAACTATAAGTACATATCCCCCCCCCCCAGGGTGTACAACCGTGTGTTCGTACACTCCAATCCAGAGCTTCACATCCAAACAACGCTCTGGATGAGTACAACTCGATAGAGTTAGCTGTTATAATTATACCTCATAGACCCCCATAGACCCATAGCTGCACACTCTTGGTGGTACTATCACTTGAACAATCCTCCCTATAAAGTGTACTACATACACGATGAATCAGAGTGTATTGCCTCCAGCAAGCAGCATTAACCAATAACATGTGAAGAGCTGGAATGAATGTGAAATCTTGCCTGCTGGTGCCCCTAGACCTTTTGATTGCACTGAGGTGAACATCTGATTTTCTCTAATTTGGCACTTAGCAGGTATTGCATTCCAGGCCTTCATGTACACGTACAGCCAGCTTCCCTGGGCAGGGTTCATGGTTGGTATCAACAACTACACGTAGTGTACGTGCACTTACGCGTTCCGTCCTCGGAGCAGTGAATTGCTTTTCTGCAGCATACTGTGCAACCAGGAACAAGAAACAAGATGGGCGGTCAATCACACGCTGTTCTCTATTCACTGTGCCAGCATGCTAATCTGGAGGTCATCAAAAACTTGTTCTCAAGTCCTGTTAACAAATATATCAAGTAACATGAAATGCTCTGCTTTCCAGGCTTTCCAGAGACCAGATAATTATAGCTGCCCCTTCTTCATTTGCCGCAGACACAGCGCTCACTCTTGACGGGCCTGTGCGACCAATACTTCAGCAGAATACCGAGGTTCTAAACCCCAAACCAAAGGTCAGGCATGGCTCAATCCTCACTCCCACATGGAGATATATCTCCGGGGGTCGCTTATCCTGCCTATTTTCAGTCGGGCCAAATCAGTTAGATAGCATCGGCACTATTTTGCTTTCACACAATCCTTTTGACCTAGCTGCACGCTGTGACATTGCAAGGGTGTGTCGCGGGAACATGACATCATACCCCCCCCCCCGAGATTCACACATGATAATTAAATCGATATACACTGTATCTCTAGAACGCTTTGTCGCAAAGATCTGGGATCAACACCATTCGACTCAGCGCCCCAAACTCTACAGACCCTGAACGTTTCATTTTCCTCCGGATTTCCGCTTTAATGGGTGAGGCTAAACAAGGTGGCTGTGCCAGTGGGGCAGACCAAGCTCAGCTGACAGACAGCCTAAATGCAGTGAAGCTTTACAGTGAAGGGCACCTGCAGCACGAGACATTAGACTAGCACAAGAAAGTTGAATATAAAACTCAGAAAAGAGAAAACTCACCTTCGTCCTCATCCCCGTAGTCACAAATGACTTTGTGATGACCGCCGGCGCTGGCTCAGTCGGTGTTATTTTGGACTGGCGTGGCTCTTGCGGGTCCAGCTGAAGGCTCTGAACAGCGACTTTCTCCTGTGTTGTTACTGGCGGGGATGCCGAATATGCACTAGTTGTCACTCCGGCTGTTGACGCGGGGTAGCTGGAGGCAAGGTGTGAAAATTCTTGTCAGTAACGAATAACACAACATAAACAAACACCTATTCGCCTTGGGCCCGGAAGTTGAATAAACACAACCAAGCAAACGTTCAGTAATGTTCATACGCACTACAAAGATAGAACCTGCGCAGGGAAAGGGTATCCTTTTCTGCAGCCAACACCGGCATGCATTACCAGACAGACCTTCCCCTAACCTTTGTCCAAGAGGAGTTGCATCCTGTGGCTGAGCTACCAGAATCCTCTTTGCAACACCACGTGCAGCCACTGCGCTTGAGCTAGGCACAGGACCACAGAGATCCTCGTATCGCCCAGGCGTACTGGCTATAAGCAGACAGTAACATTGAGAAAAAGCACCAAAACACCACAGTTCATGGGGACTTGTGACAATATCTATGCACCAGCTATCCATGACATTTTCTTACATGACAAAAAGTCACGTCGACAGGAAAATAACAAGCTCGTACGTAGGGAGCAACACACAACCCCCCCCCCCCCTATTATCGCGGATGTTGCTACCTCTATTTCGGATTATTTATCATAAAAGGTCTGGCATGGTCTGGTAAACCTGTTGCTTGTACTCATTAGCACCATCTATACATTCAATGCCATTGAGCCCGCCCGAAAAACAATATTCCTGAAATCCACACCACCAACATACAATACAGGGATGAATTTATCCTGTATCGCATTGCAGTTTGCGATGCAAAATCAATCTACTGCTACCCAAAAGTCACCGTAACTCGCAGAAAACTGCAATACATACAGACTATCCATGCCTAACCTGGTCTGTCAAGTAACGTGAATACAGTTCAGTGTGTGTGTGGTGCAGGTACTCTCAATCTGCGTGCACATGTATGCTTCAGTCGTTTTTTGCAGATGGGCTTTCAGGCATCACTCTCAAGAAGGACAATGTGGTAAACACCCAACCTTCAAAGAAAAATGCTAATCAAGATCAAAGACTGCAACGCAATTGTGATTTTGCATAGCAGAAACTGCTATGCCGCACTACGTAAAGTTGAGCAACTTTACGTTAGTGGGCGGGAAAAACCCGTGAATTCGCGAGTTTGCACTCCACTTACGGAAAGTTGTCTACGTAGAGTACGTAGATAGGGCTCTGATAACGTAGCTGGTCCGTAAGTGGATTGGGGTACAAATTTATGACTCTCTCCCCAGGTCGACCTGGTCGTCCACTGCGGTGTTCGGAGTTGCCAAGGGCAGCTACGTGATTTGAAAACTCCGTATGGCGGAACACAGATGCGCATACAGTTTACGTAAGACTTTCTGTAGATCGACTACGTTTTTGACTAACGTAATTACGTTATGCGGAACCTCTCTAATATTATAGAGTGGAACGGCACTGCATTGTGTAAGCTGCAAGAGCACAGCTCTCACCTGCATCTGGCGAGAACATCTCAGGTGTAGCGTCGGTAGTTTGAAGAATTACATTGGTTGGCCGTGGTGGAGAGTTTCCCCGACATGCCAACGATGACGGCGGGTGGCTCTCCTCAGCACAAGTGGAATACCCAGTAGACGGGTAGAACCGAGGCGGAATACGCTCAGTTGTGAAAATGCTGGCCACATTCGGTACATCAGCAACTGAAGTAAACCATAGTAAACATGTACAGTGAAAGTTCAGAATTACGGTCACCCCGCGGGGAGAAGATGCGTCCTGCGTACGGAGGTGTCCTGTGTAGGGAGGTGTCCTGCGTGGGGAGATGTCCTGTGTAGGGAGGTGTCTTATGTAGGGAGGTGTCCTGCTTAGGGAGATGTCCTGTGTAGGGAGGCGTCCTGTGTAGGGAGGCGTCCTGCTTAGGGAGGCGTCCTGTGTAGGGAGGCGTCCTGCTTAGGGAGGCGCCCTGTGTAGGGAGATGTCCTGTGTAGGGAGATGTCCTGCTTACAGAATGCATTACCACTGGATCAGGAGCAATTGGGACTGAAGAAATAAAATCATTGTGTCCTTTGCTGAGCGGTGTCCGTATAGGGAAGTCATACTGTATGTACAGGACTGGCATTCACACAGGCGTTCAGCTCACACAGTCATACAAACTACGCACAGCAAAAGAAGACACTAATGGTTCGCTGAATATCACCCTTTCGCATGAGGCCAAGAAATGGTACACTGTGATTCCCCATAGAGTCACTACCAAATCTGGACACAACCTTCACTTACACATACACAGGCTAATGAAAACATTTTCACAGCAAGGCTTTTGAAACACGACTAGCCTGACTGATGACCACTAATGTCAGGACTTGAACGATTGATTCATACTGGGTTGTGAAAAGCCCACGTTTGTTTTGCGTTATTGCTTCTACCTGAAAGTCTTAAAGCAAATGTCATTAACGTGTCTTACAATACTATCGGATTGCAAGAACGTGGGATAGACAGGCCAGGTGTATTTATCCATGTCAACAAGCTTCTCTTACCGCTGTAGCACAGGCCTTCGAATGCAGACCAGATGAACGGGTTGCGCTCAACGCTCGCTTGGTAATACTGTGACGCAAAATCCCGTTGCTTTTGCATGCTAATCACACATACACATACAGAACAGACAGAACAGACAACAACACACATACACGTGCACATACCGAACAGACAACAACACACATACACATGCACATACACATACACATGCACATACACATGCACATACACATGCAGAACAGACAACAAAGGGCAGTAGAAAAATTACAGGGATGAGCTTGCCACTGCAATGTAGGGATGAATCAATTGCAACAAATTGTCGCACCCTACTCGCTATTCCATGGTCACTGCTAGTACTGGCCATGCATGTCCTTTGTACTGGTGTTATGAAAACTCAACTGACAGAACATCGTTCCACTCAAAGACAATCTCCAGTATGCTGCGCTGTCTCTTTGCATCTCAGAGTTGCCATGACAACTTTGGGCTGGGTTTACATGAGAAATTTCAACCCGGGTCGAGTTCAGCCCGGGTTGAAAGTCTGTACGATAGACAAAAGAGGTGAGCATTTACATGAAGACAGTTGACCCGGGTCAAATACTGATATGCCGCCAAAAGTCCACTTCTAGAGTCCTGTATGGTCACGTGAATCCGTTCGCGCGAAATTTGCATCTGCAGTGCCGTTCAAACCGGGCGCGAGATACGCACAGAAGTACGTTTGTACGATTTTCTTGACCCGGGTTGATTTCAACCCTCCCCTTGGGGGGAGGGTTGAAATCAACCCGGGGCGAAATTTCAACCCGGGTCAAGCGCAATGCGCCATGTGAACGCGCCATTCATTTTGTGTTCATGGCGGGTTGAAATCTGACCCGGGTCGAACTCAACCCGGGTTGAAACGCTTCATGTAAACACAGCCATAGTCAGTGATGCCAAGTTGACTCCAAAGAAAAAAGAGTGAAAGACCGAGAGCTTCTCTTGAACGGCAGTCAACAGAAGTTAGCAGAGGAAATGACTCGTCTGTTGCAGCAATTGGAAGAGGTCACAACTCTCATCAGTAGCCAGTCCTATGTCACACCAAGGATGAGTTTGGTTGGTCACATTTCAGAGTGTGAATCACTGGGAACCAACCTTATTGAGTCGTTTGTTTGGTTATAAAATGTGTTCTGGCTACTCCAGCATCGGGGGTCAGAGCCAGTGCCGACCAATCAAACACCCATGCGCTAAACAACCCTGTTCTGAGCCGGACCAATCAACGCAACATATGCCAAGTTGCAGAATCATTGAAATATAATACATGAAAATATACACTACTCCAACATACCGTTTTGCACGGCCCAAAAGGGCCAGAACTTCGCATGCCAGGTCGCCAAAAAGCTCATCAAGTCTTTTGAGTCCCAACTGGCCGATCCCAACATCAGTGGCGATCCCAACACAAAATGGCAGTGCAGCATACCTATGGATGGCAAGATAAGAGACAAACACGTGACTTAAGTGTATATAATGTATCGGTACACTATTAAATAGCACTTGTTACATGGGCAATATTATAGACAGCCACATACCGTGGAACTCGAATAAGACGAACCCCCCCCCCCCCCCCCCCCCCCGGGGAGTGGAAAAAGTACTTACTGTAAAAGCCATTATTCTAACGAGGCGCATATATAACGCTCAATAGGACAGTATATGTATCGATTTCTGTATAACGATTTCTATTTTAACGACAGATTTCTCCTCGTTAACTCGTTAGAGTTAGCACTTCGTTATATATATATATGGCTTTTACAGTAGTATCCGAGGTACTTCTTGTCCAAAGTTGACTCCTGCGCCCCATTTGCACGATGCATGTGCAGTATATCGAAATGCTCGAAATTATTGATTGCACTCAGAAATGTACGTGTTTAGTGCCACCAAACCGGGCTTCCCTGGCGGCAAACAGCCTCCACCGCGCTGTCAACATAGTGAAGTGCATGTACCTGTCAAGCAAACCTGTCACGTGTAAAGGTGTATAAAAACACCCAAAAGTACATAGTATGCGAGGCTAGATCTGTTGGGGCCTGCTGAAATGTCCGTCATACACGAGTTTTACATCTTATCAGAGTACGTCGTATCCGCAAACATTTGTATACATCCGTATGTGTTTACATGTAGCTACTGTGATTTTTGACATCTAATTGCTACTGTAATTTCACAATTTTTCGGTGTACTTTTATTTTCGGTACTTTCGGTGCGTCTGTTTCATACCTAAAATTTCAATACACCGAACAAACACTAACACACATAATCCAAAAGGGAACTGCTTCTCTGTACCGAAAATTTCTGTTCACCTAACCTGGCCTGTTGCCCTCATACCGAAAATATTGAGCACCGAAAATTTCTGAAATTAGAGTATTTTTGGATGTTAATTGTGTACATCTTTCCGCTTCTCGGCAGTCGAGGCTCCATAATGACAGTAAAAGGAAAGGGTTTTGGAATCCAACTGCGTTCCTATGGTTGTGTAATGAGTGCACAAATAGTCCTTTTCACTGCAATACAAGTACTACTACATGTATAATCACGCAATAAAATACTCACATGTGATTCGGTGTCGCTATATCAACACGGACGGAACCAAGCTCAAAGATTGCGAAACAACATACACAGCGTCATACACATTGATGCGTCGACTTACTGCTTTAGATCCACACAGCATCTAGCTTGCAGCAAGCGGAGCCTGGGGCTGACGAGGTGTACATTCTTCTTGATGGCGTGCAAGCAACGGTGCACTTCGTTGTTGCGATAGAATGAGGTAGCCAATAGGTAAAGGGAGGCTTCACACGACGCTGCATTGCAATACGGCATTCATAAAGCAGAAGATAAGGAACAAATGTTCATCGTTTGGCATAGGTCCAGACAATACAGAATACTGGATGATTTTTTTTAAACAACTCTCCAGGCCCTATTTGTCATATCCTGTATCTACTTATCGTTTTGCCCATTCATGGCCCCTGTCTGTCGCCATGTATAGACGGTACGTGACCTCGCACTACTCCGTACTACGCACAATACCATGCTCTACTCGGCATGGCCCCCTGACTCTTCACTATATCTACACTCACATGTCTGTAAAACAAACCTCTTTCTTACTGTCAGTTCTTGACACAACACTATTGGGAATGTCACTGTGTGCAATGTGCAATGGATTCTGGAGGTTGTGTACTGCATTACTAGGACTTGCCTCTATACTGTAATTGCCTGTGTATGTGGTGGGTATATGTCAACCTTGAATGACATATTATGAATACTGGCAAGCACGAAACCCGGGGAAGGGTTCAAACTCTAACTACAATGTGTCAGAACATGTGTGTAACCTTGCAAAACAGGATTGCTAGCATTGTACCCCATGAAATCCTTGTAGTAAGATACCAAAAGGGTTACAACTGACTGAATACTGGGCGTGGCTATATTTCAGTACATGTACCGAATGTTCAGAAATATTCAACTGTCCTCCGACCATTCCTCAAAACCCCATACAGTTTACATGTTTCCAGTGATATTTCACGCACTTAGTAGAGAGATGCTTCATTCTGTATAGTGGGAAACATATTATGCTATTTGCGCGGCCATCGCACATTAGCGACATCGGCGGTAATCGGTGGAGAAAGTGTCAGCTCAAAACACCTTTGGTATCCCTAGTGATGCTTTGGCTCGGAGAGCACTGCATGTCATAATGCAGTGCTCTCGGATAAGAAATTTCACTAGCCTACTCAAGCTCAACTGATGAGGGCAAATTCCCCCAAACACCATGTATTGAGCAGGGAGTAGCGCTTTCTTGCAGGTTTACCCAGTGGAAGGTTCGACAGGCTCCTCGTGTGCTCCAGATGCAGTCTTGAGTCAGTCAAGTGTCAAGGCAATCGGCAGGAAGCACAAGCTCCGACGTTTGGAGCAGACACTTTCTTCATCACACATTTGCGAATTGAAATCGCCGCAGTATGCTCTTTACATTGATTATGCACAATAATACATGACCCAACTGAAGAGATCAAATCGTGACAGTTTCTCATTGGAAACCAGCGTACAACTAGAAAATGCAAAAAAATGCATGCAGTCTTTTTTCCATTATATAGTACTAGTAAGTGCTAGCTGACGAGTGTGCCAAGTGCGCGTAACTGTACACTGCACTGCTGATATCACTACACCATACAGCGTAGTATGAAAGTGATGCAATTTCAAACTACAAATCCCACCGTCCTGTGGCATTGAGAAGACTAAAAATCACTGAGATACGAAACCTTGAGTCAATGAACCATAGGTCGTGCAAGGTGGGTACATGCACAATACCAATATCAGCAAGAGTCCATAAACAAGAGTATGCAACTGTGATCTCTTTTCTATGGGCCAGATGCGTGGCGTGCTGCCTCATTACAATCATTCAGCTGCAGTCCGTGCACTGCGGAAATTTTTTTTTTTTTTTTTTTAATTTCGGCCAGTCGGCTTCTATCATTTTCGTCTTGGGGGCTAGACAAGGGGAAGTAGCCATGTCGGGGCGTGAGCCCGCCTTTCGGCACCGGGAGTTGCAGCTCGCTCGACTTGACTCTACTGAGTGCAGAGGACCCACACCTTGATCTGGTGAGCTGCGTCGTGGGGATTTTGCAGTCAGATGTGCGACTGCGGGGCTCGAACCCGCGACCTCTCGGGTCGCAGGCAAGTGCAGTACCCAATGTACTACCGGGGAGCCCACCTGCGGAAAATCAAACACCGCACTTTCCCACTGGTTTGAAATGAACTGTCGTACGGAACTGGAGTTCACACCCCAAAATTTAGAGATCCCGTAGGTACTGGAACGAATCGAGCAAAAACAGATGGGCTTGTACAAGAAATTGCGGGTTTGAGTGCATGCTTTCAGAGCGTGATGGAGGCAAGTTACGTAATGAAGGCAGCGCGCCGCGCACCGACCCATAACCACAGTTGCATACTCTTGTTGATGCACTCTTGATATCAGCAATTCAGCATAATCCATCCCACAAAAATTACAAACCGGGCTCATTTGTACATGTGGGGATTCTGGGGAAGTGTACTCAGTGACGTAATGCGTGCAAAACAATTCAAATTCGAAACACCAGACTTCAAAGCAATCTCCTTCAATTTCCATACGATGCTCCACTGTCACAATCCTATTGTAGACAGGACAACAAACTCCAAAATCGGTGTGCATGGGACATGGAGGGATAGGGAACGGAAGATACTAAGAGCATTGTTCAGATTTCAAATTTGAATGAAGCAATACTGAATAAAACTAACCGCTTGCATGGTAGTGCTCCGACAAAACGCAGGCATCAGCAGTTCGAAAGTGATCCAATGCATTTTGAATGGCCGCCTCCTGCAAAAGGTTGAGCCAGATTCAGTATCGGAGTGACACGATTGAGCAAATTCTATCTCTCTCACCTGCGTAAAACACCTTCCTGCTGGCGCCATTTTTTCAAACAGAGCTCTACCCTCACAATGACGGCAGTATGGCCTTTGACCCGGATCCTGACCAGGGAGTCGTACAAGCCAGGGAGCACTCCCTGGCACAAACGACACCGTGCCCTCGCCGGTCATTGGATAACCCGGATCAGCATCTTTCGCAACACTGCAGCTACGGGTGCGAGTCCCTGGCTCAGGATCATGGTCTAGGGTCGCTAACGACGTCTTCTTCGTTCGTTTTGCTGGCGGAGATATGGGTTCGTCGTGAAGCGGCGAGCTGCGGGTACGCGTACCGGAGCTCGAGTTGAACGAAGATTGGCGATGAGATGGCATTGGCGCTTCTTTTCACTACTGCGGATTCGCACGGGGGAAAAACATAGCCTGATTCTTTTAGGCCGCGAATTGAAGGACATAGGACTAGGATTGTTGCACAGCAACACACACTGTGACACACTGTGACACAGCACCGCTTCAACTATTACTTCAACAAAAAGTTCAAGTAAGTAGCTAGTTAGTTCAAAAACAAGTGTACACACTGTGACAGTATAGGTCAGTACAGTCACGTAGTAGACTATGACTCTTATGAGTGGATCATGAACTGATGAAGACAGTACGCGAGTACAGTTAGTTTTACACACTATTTACACACTATAACACTCAGTTACAGAACAGTACAGTCATGAACGATGTGAACAGTTGCCACGGTGCCGACGGTATGTCCGATCCGGGAGCGATCGGCGCTGGAACAAAAAAACTGCTGCAACAGACACTATACATAATTGTTACCAGCTGGTAGGTCTACCAGCGTCCACGACCTTTTTTTAGGCTGCGACCCCCTGCCTCCTATCAAGTATCATCCTATGTATACAATAAATGAGGAGGCCGAGGGTTTATGACCAATAAAAACTATTATAAAAACCGAGGTCCCCCGAGGTTTTTATAATAATAAAAGGTAATAAAAGGTCATAAACCCAAGGCCGGAGCATTTATTGTATTTAGAATCAACCAGTAAAAACTCCTACTCAATCTCCAACAACAAAATTAGTGGACAGCTGTTATTTGTGTTGCTATGACAACTCGTGTGCTGGACGAGTATTTGTTGTCATTGGTTCAATTTCTTTTACTCTTCATATAGGCTATCAGATCATTTTCCTTATTCGGTCTATTTATAACCAGTATCTATAATGAGAGTGTGGTCTGTCTCCATGGTTACCGGTGTTCATTTCATAACTATATCCACTTCTCCTTGTTAGACCTTATCTGGAAGGCCCATTCTTGCAACAGCAGCCAAGGGAGCTAGCTCTCTTGGTTATGCGGACTGGTCCGATCCTAAAAAGCTGTTTTTATGAACTGTTTTTATTGGATAGGATATGATTATGTTGCCAAGCTCGAAATTCACCACAAAAAAGTTCTCAAAATCCTCCTCCGAAAACCCCGCATGCTTCCATCTTCCACCCTGTATGCCCTTGCTGACACTACCCCTTTGTCTAAGAGACGTAATTCACATCTTGTCACCCTTATCCATTCTCTCAAACTCAATCTGTGTCCACCCCACCTCCACTGTTTCAACTGGTTCTCTTCCCGTAGCACGAGAAACTCCCTTTCCCTTCCGAAACCTAAGTCCTCCTTTCTACTTCACTCTCCCTTTTTCATTGCATACTCTGCGTGGCTGGCACTTCCCCAAGAAGCTAAGGACCTTTCTTCCCTCCGCCTTTTTAAGAGCCTTGTCGCGCCTTGACTTTGATTTTGTGTTTCTCATTTTGTTGCAATCACTGCTTATCCGTGCCGGTTCCTTTTTCTTCTCCTCCTCTTCTCCCTGCCTTGCCGTGGTTGGCTAACACCCTCTCTCTTTGTATTGGCCGGTGTTTTCACTGTGCTATGAGTTGCTGTAATAAATAAATGTTGAATAAACGAGGTTTGTGTCAATGGGAGATTGACTTGGAGTTTTTACGAGGTGATTCTAAATCTATAAAATACATGTGCATGACTTTGTACAATGTAGTATCCCAGATTCCCAGTCCACTGGAAGCAGCTACTACTCGATGATCGGATATTTTCGTTGTCGGTTGTCCCTTGCAATGTTGTAGGCGTTCTCAGTGCTGCTACAGTACATGTACAGTCATATATTTTCGTGTCCGGAGGACAAGGTCTGCCCGTCATCGTCCAGTTCAAATGCTTCATGTCATGAGTTACATGTACATGTACATGACGGCGATGATAGAGGGGTCGGGTTTCCTTGCCACAATTATTATTTGTGTTGCATAGCCGGCGGCTTGTGTTATCGATGTTCATTACACACAATACATGTACATGTGCATCGTTTTCATAGTTGAGAATAAAAAAGGCAGAAAGGAATGGGACATAATAGTTACTCGTAAGAGTAACTGTCCACCACTGTACTTGTACATGTAATTAGATACAGTCCGAAAGTGCAACAACTAGGCCAAAACTGACAGTACTGAGACATTCGACAACCTGATACCTAGCTCCAACACTTTTCCGAAGCGCTAACCAACATCCTTTAGGTTCTACAAGGAGAAACCAAAGAGGGGAAGGTAAGCGCGACAAAAATGAGCACAAGCTAAAGTTCCACGGGAACCTGCAAAGAATGTCGACTGTTACTGGACCCTGGCGAGACCAGTAAGATACTTCCAGGCAAAGCGGTATAACTACAATTCGAAGCAGCAAAGCAGCACACATGAGGAATACTAGTACTGTAGGAGTTGGGCGTTCTGTTTTGTGCGCAAAGCTTCCCCTTCTGTAGCCTAAGTTATCTTTGATAGTTCTGAGCCACCCAAGCTGGGTGGTGTGCTGCTTTGCTGATTCGAATTGTAGTTGGACCGCTTTGTCAAGTATTGGTCTCGCCATCGTCCAGTACCAGTCGACACTCTTTGTTCCCGTGGGACTTTAGCTTGTACTCATTTTGGTTCCGCTAACCTTCCCCTCTTTCCTGAGCTAGGTGTCAGGTCGTCGAATGTTTCCTTTCTACATTTATTATTGGCTCAACATCCGACTCGAAAATGGAAGGCTTTGTTGTACATCTCTGCAGTTACTAGTTACAATATACATGTACATGTAGTTGTAGGTTACGCGAGCCTACAACTGTAGGAAGATTGCAGATATAGGATGGCACTGAAAGTGAAATTGAAAGCCTCGAACCGCATAAAAAAAAAAAAAATCTTGATACCAGTACACCATGCGCCCCACCATCACCAACCGGTTATTGCCTTCGCGGAATGTCACTCAAGACAGGGAGTCGACCAGCACGGTCTCTGGCCTTCAACACTACACCGACACTCGGTATCACAGCCTATTCGCAAGGCCCGCGATAACGGCCTGCATTGTTCATCTACATCCCCGTTCTCCTAGAACCCGCGGCTGTGAACCCGTGGCTGTGAACCCGCGGCTGGGAACCCGCGGCTGTGAACCCGCGGCTGTGAACCCGCGGCTGTGAACCCGTGGCTGTGAACCCGCGGCTGTGAACCCGCGGTTGTGAACCCGCGGCTGCGAACCCGCGGCTGCGAACCCGCGGCTGTGAACCCGCGGCTGTGAACCCGTGGCTGTGCCAGTGATGGTTGGCGCCTTGGCGGAGTACCAGTAGTGACGTGCCAGTACTGTTCTAACTTCTTGAAGAGAGTGGGAATGATTATGTGAACGAAACTGGGCGAAATGATTCTAAAGACCACTAGGAGACACTAGGAGACCACCAATCAGCGACTTTCCTATTCTTTCCAGGACATCATACACACATATGTTGTTAGATTGACAGCATGAAACAAGGTGGAGGACACTGTTTGCGGAAACAGTGACCTTACTACAACCATCCACGGTTGGCAGAGCCCCGGTCCATTAGGACTATTTGAACCATATGGGTGTTGTCTAACAATATGTGTGAACTATAACAAGGTTTATCTAATACTAGTTAGTTTTGAACTAGTATTGAGTTATTATAATACATTGTATACATGTACCGGTAATAGCTGGTCGTGTGTGCTTCCCAGTAATTCCATGCCGGATCTGCATGTCTTCAGCGGCCTTGCCCTGGCACATACATGTACATGTGTATGTACCTCACCAGTCAAGCTGCAAGCTTGTTCTTGGTGATGGCTGTTGGCAGGCTCCTTGCATCATTAAACTCAACTGGAAATACCTACTACTAACCCTCAGCCTCAGGCAGTCGGCATGCCCCCTTTGTACGTCAGAACAACACTTTCAGACTCGTGATGTTCAGCGCAGACTATACTACATCGCAGCGTCCACGTATGGAGTCAGTGGCATTTTGAAACGGACCACTCGGAGTGAATTGCTTTATTTTGGTATTATAGGACACAAATAGAAAGAGGAGAGCGAACGAAGTGATGAGGCCCTGTCACGAAGGATTCCCGATAATCGTGCTGGAATCACCAGACACAGCACGCATTTCCTACATTGCAGATTGGATGCACGCTTCCTTCCTATGCTTTGCCACTGCAATACCTACGTACGTGTACCTGCCGGCCATACGTTGTCAGTGGTTACCCGTACCCGCACTTGTAGTACGAGTACTACTGGTTTCACTGTCTGTCAACCGTGATGGGGCATGGTATGGACTCTTGGGTACTAGCCTAGGTGATTAGCATCTCTCTCTCTCTCTCTCTCTCTCTCTCTCTCTCTCTCTCTCTCTCTC